TAGTCCCTACAAGGGCACAACCCACAGATGTGAACATTCTCTATGGTCAGCCTCCTGGACGTCTGATTTAATGTTATTACAAATCTCAAGTATTTCTCCTGAAAGTAAGATAGAAAGTATCGTGATGGGACCTGAACTATCTACTGCTAGGGCTGGAGAGATTTTCAATGGTTGAGAGTGCCCATTATTCTTACAGAGGACCTGAGTTCAGTGCTGAGTGAGCACCCATATCAGTCCACTCACAAGTGATGATCACCCTAGCTCCCGGTGATCGGACACCTCTGGTCTCTGGCCTCCAAGGAAACCTGGCCTCACATGTAAATACCCACACACATACACATAGTTAAATATTCCCACTACTCACTCTTAGGGAGTGAGGACAGTGAAAGGAAGGGAGTGACAAGGCCACCCTCAAGGCAGACTGACCAGAAACAAAAGTTACTACTCATAATTCAAAAATGTTTAATTGCCTGTGAGATGGCTTAGCAGCAGGTAAATGTGCCCATCATCAAGCCTGATGACCTGAGTTCAATTCCTTAGTGCTTCCTAAATGCTTCAGATAAACTCATTTCATTTTATCCTTTCTCCCTCCCTCTGGTCATTAAAACAATCCTCCAGTAGTAACAGTCACATCCATAAGAGTCTGACCACTAAGACCAGGACAGACGTGACAGTGGATTAATGTTGGGACAAAATTATAATCTACGTCTCCTTCCTTTAACCCCTGTTTTTCTCAGCACATGGGGAGATAGAAGACTGTGAGGAGTGTGTCGGAATGTGTCCCAGTGGGATCACCTGTAGCTGAGATGAACTTGTTGTAGTTCTCATATACCAGGGTCTGCATGTCGCTGTCTAGAGCCCGGATCTGCCGCACCATGTCCGTCTCACTGTCCATCAGCTGGGCCAGAGGACACTCTCTGCGCAGCTAGAGAAGCAGGTAGTAGTATTCAGTATTAGTGCTCACTCATGTCCCCCTGCCTTGCCTTAGGTTAGTTGGTTTTCAGTGCAAGACAACCGTGATCCCACCCTTATCAGGAATTCCAGATATGGAACCTATAAGTGACATACTTCAGGGGTTACTAGATTAGACCTAATTTGGGATTTGTCAGCTTTTAAAGTCTTCAGGCTCAGCTTAAATTCAACCCAGGCCCAGCCTTGCGCCTGTCAAGATATGGCCACGCCCACTACCCCGGGCCTAGGGCCTATCAGAACGTCAGCATCGAGATCACGGACCCCTGGAGCACCTCAGTCAGTCCTAACTGGTCCAAGCTTACTTAGTCTCCAGATCTGCCCCTGTTGCCCGGTAAGGGCTATTCCTCTTACGAACTCTGGCTCCCCTCACCACATCAACAAAATCTGGGACACGATCTAGGGTCCAGTATATTGGGGGGTCTAGACCCGTCCTACTTGACACATACACACACACACACCTTGTCCAGATAAACTTCCGGGTCGAAGTGCGCCCCGTTGAGATCTGTCGGGTCTAGAGGGTCCGGCCCCGCTGAGTGCCCCGCCGCCTCCCCTTCAGAGAGGCCGTAGTAAAGCTTCAGCATCCCATGAGCCTTCCGCCGACGCTCCGGAGCGTCCGCCTCGGGTCCTTCTGGGGAGTCCCCCGGCCCGGGCCCGACGGCTGCCGCTGCCGCCATAGCTCCAACCGCAGCACAAGGGGGTGAGGCAGGGGAGGGGAAGGGAAGCACTTCCGGGAGCCATAAAGTTGTTGAAACCAGGCGGTCCTTTAGGTGAAACGTTCCTCTGCAGCTTTGGACACGTGAGACTGAAGTTCCGCCTTGCACTTCTGGAGTGCAGGCGTTTCGCTAAGCTTCTGGTTCCTGTGATTTTGTAATGCTGGAAGGTGGGCGAGTCGTGGAGTCGTGGTGTCCCTACATCCCTACAGGAAAGACTCATGGATTATGTGCCTAGATTGAATGAATGGGCATTAAAATTAGGGAATATACTTCACAGGAAGTCTGCAAGGATCAAGTGTTCATTCAGTAGCCTACACTATAGCTCTAGTGCAGGATTTCCTAAGGTCCTGTCTCCAAGTTTTTCTGCTCACGCTCAATATAATAACCTTTATTCTGTGGTGTTACAGAACAGAACCTATAAACCTGAAGTGGCTGGGGAAATGTGCTGAGTGAGAAGTTGGCATTGAGGACAATTCCTAAATTTCTGACTTAGACAAAGTCTCGGGCATTCATAGAGGCAAAACTCTCAAGAGAGGAGGGAATGAGGTCAGAATGGGATATCCTGAGTTAAATAGGAAAAAAAAAAAAAATGAGTCTTTACCAGTGATGTACTGTAAACGTTACCGAGAATGGTAGATAGGGCAGTGGGCTAATAGCAGTCCTGCAGGCCAAACACTGAATAGCATCTATTTTATCTGTAAACTACGATTTAAAAAATAGTAATAGCTGGGTGGTCCTTGCACACATCCTTAATTCCAGGCAGGTGGCTTTCTGAGTTTGAGGCCAGCCTGGCCTACAGATAAAGTTCCAGGCAGCCAGAGCTACACAGAGAAACTCTGTTTCAGAAAAAACAAACAAAATTCTAATGGTATTAAAATTTATGTGACATCTGTCGAACCTCGTTATTTATTGTCTTTAATTATGTGTGTGCAGGTGCTCGAGGAGGCCAGAAGAGGGCGTTGAATACCGTGAAGCTGTAGTCACAGATTTCAAGAGCTGCCCAACTGCAGCTGGGGACCAAACTGCAAGAACAATACATATTATCCATGGCTTTTTGTTTTTGTTTTTTGAGTTCCTGGCTGACCTGGAACTCACTATGTAGACCAGGCTGGCCTGGAATTCACAGAGATCTGTGATCTCTACCTCCCAAGTGCTGGAATTAAAGGTGAGTGCTGTCATACTTTCTGTCTCTGTCTCTCTCTTTTTTGGGGACAGGATTTCTGTGTGTGCCAGCTCTGGCTGTCTTGGAACTCACTCTGTAGATCAGGCTGGCCTCAAACTCACAAGATCCCCCTGACTGCCTCCCAAGTGCTGGAACTAAAAGTAAGTGTCACCACTGCCTGGCCTCGGAACCCATTTCTTGACCTATTATTTATGGCTGATTTTGTCACAGAGTAAGTGGCCCATAAAACCTAAAGCATTTATTTATTCACTTGGTCTTGAACCAAAAGTTTCTTGATTTCTATTCACTGGGCTATTCAGACACTGTACATATTAAGATTTCAGCCTATGAGCCTGTAATTTAAGACACTGAATATGAGCTAGAGAAATGGCTTAGCAATTAAAAACACTTGCTGCTCTTCCTAATGACCCATGTCCCCAGGCTCACTACTGTCTGTAATTCCAGTTCCGGAAGATCCAATGTCCTCTTTTGGCCTCCATTGGGAGCCAGGAACACATGTGTATTGCAGGCAAAATACTCATACATACAGAAAAAAAAATTTAAAAAATCATAAAATGAAGAAAAGAAAACCAAGCATGGCAGTGTATGCCTGAGCGTCCCAGTGTTCAGGGGCAAAGATGCAGGAGAGGGTTAAGATCACCCATACAGTAAGTTTGAGGCCAACCTAGGGTACATGAAAACTGTCTCAAAAACTAAATAACAAAAAGTGGGGCTGCAGAGATGGCTCAGAGGTGAGGAGCACTGGCTGCTCTTCCAGAGATCCTGAGTTCAATTCCCAGCAACCACATGGTGGCTCACAACCATCCAACCATCTATACTGAGATCTGGTGTGGTCTTCTGGCTTGCAGGCATACATGCAGGCAGAACATTATATGTAGTAAACAAAACAAAACAGCAAAAAGGGCTGGAGAGTTGGCTCAGCAGTCAAGAGTAGATTCCTGAGAGCTGTCCTCTGATCTTCACATATGCACTGTAGCATGTGAACACTCTTACTCCACTTACCACACATTCTAATATAAATGAGGCTGGGTATAGTGGCACCTTTTTTTATCCAGACACGTAGATCTCTGTGAGTTTGAGGTGAGCCTGGTCTACACAGTGAGTTCTGGGGTAAACCAGGGCTGCCTAGTAAGACCTTGTTTCAAACAAACAAAACCAACTCTAAGTCAGTTAGTATTAACTAAATGTTATAAAATTTTCCAAAGCTTATTTGTATTTCATGCTATATAATACATAATACATAGGCCTCGGGAGTTTGCAAACTAGCATTGCACAGAGACAAAGAAGGGAAAGCAGCAACACCTTGGAACTGAGAGACAAGGCTAACTACCCAATCCTGGTTCTCTATAAAATCAGGTAGCCAGAACTGGGGAGGGCGCCGTGGTGGTGCAGATTTGCAAGGAATACAGTCTGCAGTCATCCAGAATATTCCCTGAAGAAAGGGTAATTTAGATTCATTCTCTGTCTCTGCTCATTGAAGTCTGTGGTGACAAGGGACACGAACCCCAGTGTTTCAGTTTAGAGAGCCTGGGATGCAGCCATTCTTCCCTCTGTTGGGAAAGCCTTAAGCTACTCATCTAAGCCCTAATTACTCTCCTGCCTAGAACCTGCTGTGGACTAGCTTGGTGTGGTGGCTCACACATTTAAACATAGTACTCAGGAGGCATAGGCAAATAGATTTCTGAGGCCAGCCTGGTCTACAGGAAAAAAAAATCCAAGACAACCAGGGCTATACAAAGAAATCTTGTGTGGAAAAAAACAAACGCTGGGTGGTGGTGGCACACGCCTTCAATCCCAGCACTCAGCTGAGGCAGGTGATCTCTGTGAGTTCCAGGCCAGGCAGGTCTACAGTTACACAGAGAAACCCCGTCTCAACAAAACAAACCAAAAAACTAAAACAAAACCTTGCAGTGGAGCTGGGACATACTCCTCCACCTTTCTAAGCCCTTGCCTGCTCCCTGTACAGCATCCCCTGTGGCAATACTGAGCTTCCCAGGAAGTAGAGAGGATGAAATGGTGTCTCCTGCCATTCAGTTCACTTTGCCTGTCATTCCACAATGGAATGTCCACAATATTCAAACACATCCTTCTATTTGTTGGAATCAGGCTATGTTCTAGAACCTTGCCCTCTCCTATGCCTGCCTCACTCTGGAATACACTGCTGCCTCTGCCAGAACACCCTAGAATGGCAAGATTTTGCTGCTCCTGGACAGGGACCACTTGCCCCAGTTCCTGGGCCTGACTTGAGCCCAGGCTGTGACCAGGATGAGGTGGCGGGACCGAATAGCTGTATTATTCTTCCCTCCAGGCATGATGCTCACTGTAGCTGCACTCATGCTCTTCTTCATACACATGTGTGTCTTTGCTAGTGATGTTCACAACTTTTGTGTCACCCACCACTATGACTTCATGAGCTTCCGATACACGGTTGTCCTGATGGTAGGTTTGGGATGGGGGCTCAAGGGCTGCGTGGGGAAAGCCAAGGGGCTGATGAAAGTGTCTGCTATGTCAAGGGGCCACTCTCCCACTGGGTCCATCTCCCAGTTCTCCCAGGTGATCAGCATCTGCTGGGCTGCCATGGGGTCACTCTACGCAGAGATGACTGATGACAAGTTTCTTCGATGCTTTGCTTTGACCATCCTGAGTAAGTAGGGAGGTGTGCTACAAGAAGGGAGTTTTGAAACCCTGAGATGTGGCAAGGAGGGGACAAAATTGTTGAGCTGATGAGCTCTCTCCTCCACCCAGTACTCAATGGAGCCATGTTCTTCAACCGCATGTCCTTGGAGTTTCTGGCCATCAATTACCGAGAGGAGAGTCACTGAGGTCTGGGGGTTGGGGACAGGAAGGAAGATGGAAAAAGCTGCTTCAGGTATTTTAATAAAGTCTGTTGTTTATTTGCACCTGTCTGCTCCTTTCAGGGTTAAGTAGGAGGCTGGACACCCAGGGACAAGCAAGTGAAGACCAATTTGACCAAACAAGGCTACAGACCTGGCCTGTAGCCTCAGCCTCCGACTTGGTCCAGGGGATCTTAGTGTCTCAGGACTGAGGAAGAAAGGTGGATAAAAGCTCTCAGGCCTCCCAGACCTTCTCTCCCCAGGATTTAGGTCCTAAGCTGGCCCAGACACAAGCACGGACTCAGGAAGGACCTACACGAATATGAGGGTTCATGAGTGGGTCCAGATTGGGATCACTGTCAGCTGCAGCCCGGCCGAGGCGAGACATAAGGGCGAGGAGTGCCAGGAAGCCCAGCAGCCCCAACAGGAGCAGGAGCCCTGCCCGCTGGAGCAGAGTCAGTGGCCGCTTCCGGGACCCAGCCCTGCTCCTAAGAGAAATGAGGGAAAGTCAGATCAGGCCCTGGGGCCCTGCCCTGGCACAAAGAGAGAAGCCTTAGTCACTATCTTTGGGCCTTAATTTCCTTATCTGTGTATTGGAAATGATCACCCCGTCCCCCTGCATTATCCAACACATCGGGTCATTATGAAGCTTGTTCTGGAGACAGGGGGACTCTCACCAGAGGGAGGCCCAGTCCTGCCCGGGCCCAGTTGACTGTGGCTAACTTCTCTCTCATAATGTTCTGGAGACTAATAAAAATCAGATGGCATCATAATAGGAAGAGGCCTCAGTGCCCAAGTCCAAATCCTCTGAAGAGGAAAGGACACAGCCCCTGGAAAGGATGCATACTCTAAGCCTGCCCACCTGCCAGGGCCTCATTTTGGCCCTGGGACCGGATGCTGCTAGTGCCCAGAACAAGCCTCACTGTTAACAAATTGTCCACCATGGGGCCTCTCCTCTCTAACACCCCATCCTGCATGTCTCCATGTACCTGAGCAGTTGGGCCAGCCAGCCCAGAGCAGGCCGGCGGCGGTATTTATCATCATCACAATCTCCATGGAGTCCTACCGTCCGATCATCATCCCGTGTATCATATACCTTCCTTGGGGCTATAGGAATAGAACACCAGCATGAATAAGCTCTGACAAACTGGTCCTGTGGAAGCTGTGGGGAGGCCGTATCTGTACTTGGAGTGAGGAAGAGCCATTCCATATGGGGCTCCTGAGCTCCCTCCACACAAATCACCCCCTTTTTTCTGTTTTCTGAGGAGGAAAATTCCCCAACTCACCGTGTGTCAGGGCCTCAGTACTACCCATGTGTATGACTGTGTGCTGCTCAGGACGGCTTGGGGAAGGAGGACAGGGAACCTGGCTGAGGAAAGCTGGAGCAATAGAAGTGCTGTCTATTTCCTCTTGCGCAGCAGGGCTGGTGGCTAAGGACAGAGAACTGTCAGTGGAGCAGGGAGGCAAGGCTCAGGCAGCAGATGGATGGAGGCCACCACTTACCATTGAAGCTGGACCAGTCAGAGAAGTCTGAGGAATTGAGGGGCTCAGGCTCTGGGCTTATCACCTCATCGATCTGCAGAAAGGAATCTAAATTAGTAGCCTGCTCACTCATGCTGCCAATCCATCCAATCTGGCTCAGGTGAGGGTCACGACAAAAAGATGGCCAGATAGACAGGGGGACTCTCACCAGAGGGAGGCCCAGTCCTGCCCGGGCCCAGTTGACTGTGGCTAACTTCTCTCTCAGTGCTGAAGCCACAGGGCCAGCTAGGTTGGCTGGTGGGAAGATGGGGCCGTTACAGCTGGGGCACTGGTAGCCTGCAGGTGCTGTGTTTCGTGGTAGCTGGGCAGCACGTTCATTGATGCAGGCCCAGTGGAAGAGATCTTAGGATCCATGAAATAAGAAAGAAAAGGCATGAGAAAGACAACTTGTTGTGTTCTTAGCCTAGGCCTAGCAATGCGCCCACCCCCAGCCAGCTCACTGCAGGAATGAAGGAACACATATATGGGTACCCAGGACCATTCCTTTTCCTCTTCACCCCAGGTCCCCAAGGCTTCATTCAACCTTCTTGTTAACACCAGTGTACTAAATCACAGTAGATTCTATCAACCTGGCCAGCCCATAAGGAGAATGTGTGGCTGGGAACAAAATGCCATCTACGAGAGTCTTCTCTGGGCCTGAACTCATTACACACCTTGGGCTAAAAGCTAAACAATAGTTTCAGGCTGCGTGTGGCAGCAGCCGCTTGTAAACCTAGCTGTTGGGAGGTAGAGGCAGGAGGATTAAAAGTTTAAGGTAAGCCCCATCAGAACCCACTACATACAAGAATACAAGAAGGAAAGCTTCCCAGACATACACACAGATACGTGCATATATCCAGAGGTACAAATATACATATGCTAATAAATATACAAGCAAACCCAAGAGTCATTCCTTCAACCTACACTAGTTGTCACATGTGTACACATCTGTCCATTCATGGCAGCTAATACTCAAAAATACATGGCAGCCAACACCCTCATGTCATCATGCATTCCTTGGGACATGTGTTCATATCCATTCATTATCCATTAATTTTCCCATGTCTATTAATCATTTGTATGATTGTACACACAGTCTCATGGAGAAACAGACATAATGTTTGCCCTTTTGGACTGGCATCTTGAAAAACTTAAGCTGAGGCTTTTACACCAGACTGTGACTAATGTCTCTCTCTAGCTAGCTGTAACGTGTGAGGCTTCCTCTCTGTCCAGTCTTGGAATCAGTAACGTTCCTGAAAAATGGATCTTGGTTACAGCCACAGATCATAGTCATCTCCAGCTCTGCAAGACTGGCAGAGCAGCGAGGAAAGACACCAAGGCTTTGGAAGGGACAAGGCTTGCCTGGGCTTACAAAGCAGGGAAGTACCTAACAGAATCAGGATCAGAGGCTCTGGCCTCCAGGCTTCAGGGACTTATTGTCTTGCTGCTTAAAGGGTGCTAGTAGACCAGTCTCCAAGCTGGATCCTGGGGCTGCCCTGACCCCTTCCTAGTGCCCAGGCCTCACCATAGCAGACAAGACGGGTCGTCTCTCGACTGGCCAGGGGTGTGTTGCACAGGCGGCAATTGGGGTTGTAGTCACTATCTTGTAGCCACTGCAAGTAGGACTGCACGATGCACTGGAGTGGGAGAGAGATGTCACAACGGGTGCCCAGGCTCCACGATGAATATACCACTCCAAGGCCCAACTGCCTTGTTTCTTCAGTCAGACTCATTTTGTCTATTTAGTCAATGAACATTTACTGAGCATCTACTGGAGGCCTAACAGAGAGCAACATAAACCAAGTCCTTGCCCATGTGGAGCTTACAATCTAACGTTGGGTCCCTCATGGATGTGGAAGGAGAAAATCTGGCCTGCCCACCCCAGTGCCCTTTTCAGCCTCTGCTCTGAACGCCCCACCTTGGCGTGATTGGCTACCAGGCAGTGCTCGCAGACGTTAACTCGATGTTCGAAGCAAAACAGGTTTGTCACCTTCCTCTTGGGGCACTTGCAAAGGCCCATGGCCGATCCTAGAGAGAGGATCTGAGTTAGCAGGGAACCAGGTTCAGGTGACTGCCAAATTTGTTCTCACCAACCTAGTTCGCTTCTTTTTTTTTAAACCCCCCAGACCGTTCCACACCAGTCCAAACGCCAAAATCTAGCCTGTTTCAGCATGGTTAAGTCCCCGCCCACAGCACAGACCGTACCACAGGCGACCCCTCATTTCATCAGGACCCAGCCCCTAGCCAGACCTCTCCATCAATAACTCCAATAACACCAACCCCGCCCCTAAGACCCCACCCCCTCCTGACCCCACCCCCATCCGGCAAACCCAATCTGAGTCTCAGAGAACCTCCGAGGTACCGGTCGCGACGGGTGCGTACTATGGTGGGAGGCGTACGGATCGGAGACTGTGTTGACTCACTCCGGTAGCTGAAGCCCTGCTCCCTTCGGCTCCGGCCGCTCTGATTATCCCTCCGCTGCCACGTCTCTTCCGGGTGCGGCGCGCGCTGATGACACCACAGCGCCACCAGACCACGCCTCTGCCTTACGCAAGACGTAAACCTGCGACAACAAAGGGGTAGGCCTTCTTCTTTCGTCACTTCCGATTCCTCCTTCGCTTGGCGGGTGATTTGAACGTTTGCAGGCACAGACTTCCCGGTTGGCGCGAGCCTAAGTTGGCGACCGTGGTGAAGGATACTGAGCCGGACCATAGACATGTCGGAGCGGCGAACGCGGTCCGGAGGGGCTGCCCAGCGGTCTGGTGAGTGGAGGACGAGCGACAGCGGTAGGGCCGTGTAGTTTGGAGAATGAAACTTAGCTCCCGGGCAAGTTGGAAGATGGCGTCTGCTTTCCCGAACTCGTCAAGCATCTTATTTCGTTTGGTTGTTTTAAACATGTTTCCGTTACCAGGACCCAGGACTCCATTTACTAAGTCTTCGAAGAGGTCCCAGCGGAAATCTGGTTCAGATCTCCCAAACATCTTTCCTGAAATCTGGCCGAAGGTGAGATCCGAGTTCCTCAGGTACTGACCTAATGTAAAACTGAACAAATGTGAAGCTCATGGTAATCCCTCTCTCCCTTTTCAGACGCCTCATGCGGCTCCAGTCAGAAAGGCCATCGTCTTGAAGAAGATCGTGGCTCATACAGTAGAGGTGAGGAGTGAGGGACTGAGAGGGATTTAGGAGTGAGATGTCAAAAGGGGCTTAGCTTTTGATTGATGGGTTGATGTTATCCCTACAGGTCCCAGCTGTCCACACACTTCGAAGGAGTCCTAGGGTGAGTTCAGTTCCACTTGCTTATTTGTGTGGGATCCAGCTCTCCTTAGAAATAAGGGTAGACATACTAAGCACCACATCCTCCCAGGCAGCTGAGAACAACTTTCCACTTGACACCTCACCTTTATGAATTGTCACTTCCGATTTCACTGTTCTGAATTGAAAGTTGCTGTAGACCAGGCTGGCCACAGACTCAAAAGAAATCCATCTGTCTTGGTCTCCACAGTGATGGTATCAAGGATTAAATGTGTCCATGCTATCAGGACTGGCTACAAATTGCCATTCTTGGTTATTACCTGTAGATGTCATTCATTTTTAGTTTTTGTTGTTGGGTTTAGTTTTTGTTTTGTTTTGTTTTTAAAGACAGTTTCTCTGTGTAGCCCTGGAACTCACCCTGTAGAACCAGGCTGACCTCAAACTCAGAGATCCTCCTGCCTCTGAGTGCTAGATTAAAGGCGTGGTCAACCACACTCATTCAGAATGTCTCTTGATGGCTTTCCTGCCTTGTATTAGGGCATAAGGTGTCATTGGATTTGAGCTAGGTCTTGGCCTCTAGAAAACTAGGTGCCAAATTTCATGTCCGTTAATTCAGTGAGCCTCCAGTGTACAGGATTCTTCTGTACATCTGGACATTGGCAGATCTAGCTAGACCCCTGAGCCTCAAGAAGCTCCTCATCTGGCTGGTATGCCTGAGTTAACCAATAACTGAGGAGTTAACAGACCAGCTTCCGATGATAGCTATATTGCTGTACTAAAAGTAAGAGGAGGGCTGCAGAATAGATGCAAATGAAAATCTGGGCTGATGTGAAACTCTGGAATTGTTTAAACTGGAAGTGGGATTACAGTAACCAACACATGAGCCTCAAGAACCTGTCAGGTTAAGCTTTTGCTGTTCACAGACTCAAAGCCTCTGGGGCTGCCTTTGAATACAGAGGTGGTATTGAAGTGTGCCATACCCGGAGATCTGCCTTCCTCTGCCTCCCAAGGGCTGTGATTAAAGGCGCGCACCTCCACCACCCAGCCTGTTCTGCTTTTTACCCCACCCCCACCCAGTTTTCCTCCTGGTGTTTTCAGTGCCACAGTGGGAGTGCTGGGGAGCCAGTGCTTTTCCCTTCTCTCTCTTCTTAGCTTTCCCTGACACATTCCCAGTGCCCAGGACACTCCCTGGTGTGGGCACGTCACCAGTAGGTATTTATTGGCCAGATTACTATTTTATAAAAAATCTTTAGTGGCTGTATAGCAGATGCCCCACAGAGGGTGAGGCTGGAAGCAGGCAAAACAGTTAGGAGGCCATTAAGCCAGGTTAGGTATGCTGGGATTTTATGCCAAGTACATTTGGCGTGGCAGCAAATGTAGTGAAACTTGTCATAAGTCAGCTTCTCCAGAACAGTATCTTTTTTCTTTCCAACAGTGAAGGTAGAACCCAGGGCTTATGCGTTCCGGGCATGTGCTCTATGCCTGTTGCTTAAAATCTGTCCTGGACTGGGGATGGAGTTCCTCAGTAGTGTTTGCCTAGCATGCGCAAGGCCATACGTGCCCCCCCCCCTTAAAATACACAAGAAACTGTAGAAATCCTGTGCCTTGTCGATCTTCCATCCTGATCCCCTAGCTGACAAGAGTTCTCTCACCTGTCCTGATACAGATATCTTTTATCTTGGAAAAAGAAAACAGCCCTCCTCTCAAGGTGCCCACAAAGGAGGATCTCTTCAAGACCTGTAGTGTCCCTGGCACCCCCACCAGCACCCCAGTGCTGTACACTCACAACGTTGAGTCCAACTCTGGGGAAGGAGAGCTGGACACCAGAGACTTGGAAATGTCTCAGAAAGTCAGACGATCATATAGTCGGCTTGAGAGGCTCAATTCTGCCTCAACCTCCACCCCTGGCCGCCGATCCTTCTTTGGCTTTGAGGGAACTGAAGACTTGCCCCAAGTCTCACCTGTCATGTGTTCAAAGTTTATTGAGATCCCAAAAGTATCTTCGAAGCCCTTGGTTCCAGATACGACGCTTCCTGGAATCTCTCCTCCAGTTGTGAAAGAGAAACGAAGGAAAAAGGTGCCAGAGATCCTGGTGAGTAGAGTAAGGGGCTGGGCCTCTCCCACAGTTGCACTATACAGGCAGGGGGTGTGGGGCCAGGACTCCAGGTTTTGAGGGAAAGTAACTGCTGAGGGTGTGGATAAGTGACATGCTATATGGCCAGTGTGGCTGCCTTTCCCACTCATGTCCTCGTTTCTTTCCACCAGAAATCGGAGCTGGATGAGTGGGCTATGGCCATGAATGCTGAGTTTGAAGCTGCTGAACAGTTTGATCTTCTGATTGAATGAGATAAAGTGGGCATACACCTGGCTAGGCTCTCATCTCCCTGTACATATTGCCCTTTGAGTAGAGCAGGACTTGTAGGGTCCTCTTTATTGCCTTGTTAGCCAGAAAGGTGTTGCTGGCCCCTTGTTATATTGTGGCTAGTTACCCTGGGCTATCTATCTATCTCCACAGTGTTAGGGATGAGAAGCTAATTCTGCTATGAGTCTGCACTGTCAGAAACAGGTTCATCCGCGGGTTGTTTTTCTCTTGTTGCCCTCTGTTGGTGGCTTGGAGTTATATCATCTGATAATGAGCTTACAGGCTGGAGAGACAGTTAAACTCTTAGGGAAATCTGGACATGGAGTCTAAGATATTAAAGAAGGAGGTAGTCATGGTGCCTTTTTTTTTTTTAAACACAAGTGACAGTTATGTAGGAGCTGCACATGTCTGTGTTCTGCTGTTGACAAATTGGTAAATAGGATACTGGTGCTTAGGGCAAAGTGAGTATAATTCATGATATGGGTTCCAGATGCCACCAACTTGAGGTTTGTGATCTCTGGTCATCCTTTCCTCACCCACACCTGCTTTCAAAATGAACTGCACAGTCTTGGCTCTGGGATGTGGCTTCTTGCAACTGTACTTGGAAAGTTCTGGCCCTTATTCCTCATGAGCCATATAGCTGTAGCACTGATGGCAGCTTTTGACTGTGACACACATGAGACCAGGGACGTCTCATGGTCCCTGCACAGTTGCTTCCTACCTACCACCACCTCTCAATTATGGTAGAAGATATGATTTCAAAGGCCACTGGACTTCCAACATATGCAAGTTCATGGGAGGAGAAGCTGCAGGGACTGAGAGCTGCAAACAAGCACCTGTTACATACACCAGGATGGTTTTGAGCCCAGCACACCAAGAATTTGTCCTCACTGGCCCCTGTGGACCCTGAGTTGGACCTTCTGATTGCTGCCATTACTACAGACTCCTCTGTCTGTCTTTGAGGAACTAATGGACAGCCCGGGGAAAGGTTTGATGGCAAATAAACTTTTAAAAAGTTCTGTTTGTGCCAGTTGTTGGTGGTGCACACCTTTAGTCCCATCACTCAGGAGGCAGAGGCACAGGGAGGTGGATTTCTGTGAGTTCCAGGCCATCCTGGTCTACAGAGTGAGTTCCAGGACAGCCTCCAAAGCAATACAGAGAAATGCTGTCTTGAAAAACCAGAACTAACAAACAAACAAAAACCAAAAAGTTCGGTTTGTAGACTGCTTTTTATTTGGTCAAAGACAGAGCCACTGGTATGTGAAGTCCCAGATGCCATGTCTTTGGACTGTCATCTGTACAATTGAGGGCTGTTCCTTTGTACAATTTGCCAGCCTGGCCTCCCTCCAATGACTGATTCTCTGTTCCTCCAAACTAGCGTTTCCTGGAATGAAGGCCCAAGCCCCCCTGTCCCAGGGGGAAGACTTGCATCTGGGTAAAGCTGCTAAGCACTCTTCCCCAGGGGATGTATATGGAATTGACCACACTTCATCCCTCTTCCTCTTTTCCTAAGGCTCCATCCAGCATAGGAGCCTGTGGCTCAGGCTTAATAGCTGGGTTCCTAGATGCCACGCAGCGGCTGGCTATGGACACCCGGGAGAAGCAGATCAAAGAAGTGATTACTTGGCCTGTTGTGCAGATGTGAGTGTCCCAGCTCATCCTTTGGCGAAAGCTAGGCCATTAAATTTTTTCCAGAGCCCTTACTGAATCTAGAATACCATCTCAGCTCTACTGGCCAACAAGACCCAGAGCTGCCTATCTCACCCTCTCCCTGGTTCCACGGTTGCTGATAAATTGCCACATTGGCTTTAATATTTGTGCTAGAGACCTGAACTCAGATCTCAATGCTTGCATAGCAAGCACTTTTTGCATAGCAAGCACTTTACCTACACTGAGTTATCTTTGCCTACACCATCGTATTATATACTTGCAGTGTATCTGCATTGTCATCATAATTTAAAATATACTGGCCACCTGTGCTAACACATACTCGTAATTCTAGCTCTCTAGGAAGACAGAAGCAGGTAGATCTCTCTTAAGTTTGAGGCCAGCTTGATCTTAGTTCCAAGACAGCCAGAGCTAGGGAAGTCCTGTCTAAAATGAACAAAGCGGCCAGGTATGGTGGTGGCAGGACACACACCTTTAATCCCAGCACTCTGGAGGTAGAGGTACACAGATCTCTGAATCCAAGGCCAGTCTACAGAGGGAGTTCCAGGACAGCAGAAGCTACACACACACAAAGCAAGCCCTGTCTTGGGGTGTGAGGGAGGTAAAACAGTTGGAGCATGACACTGTCAGCACCTGACCTCTCTTTAGTTAGTTAATGCTCTTGAGAAATCAGGCAGGACATTTCATGAACATGGCAATATAGAAAGGAGATGGGATTTAGAGGTGGCAAGTAACTTCAGACTTAGAACTTCAGGAATTGCTGCTGCTTCCATCCTAATAGATGAAATATCTCATGTTACACAGCAGGAACACCCTCAAAGTAAGCCTGCCACCAGCACCACCATGACCAGGGTCCTGAGGGAGGTTTGCTCAGCAGGGAAAGTGGACAGGGAACTTGAAGTAACATTCATTGATAAGAGCACAATAGTAGGGACAAGTTTGAAATTCTATTAAAAAGCAAAAACCCCTATTCTGAGTGAGATAATGAGGCAGGATAGGAAAAAGGTATCAGCTAGCTGCACACCTGAAGTCTCTGATTTGGGAGGTGGGGGTGGGAGGGCAGGAACGAGCCATGCTCCACTGTGATGAGTCCCAGACCAGCCTAGGCTACCCCAGACTCTCACAGACAAGAACACCAACCTTTTTAATGTAAGTGTATCCCCTGCCATGCTGTCATGTTTAGGATGTGTTTATGTGCAAAGGAATCTTCCAGGGGCTGTAGCTCAATGGTACAGTGCTTGTCTAACACACATGAGCCCTTGGGTTTGATCTCCAGTACCACTTAACATGAAAATGATTCTCTAGCATGATGGTGGCGCCTGTCTTTAATCCCAGCACTCAGGAGGCAGAGGCAGGCGGATCTCTGTGAGTTCAAGGCCAGCCTGGTCTATAGAGCAAGTTTCAGGACAGGCTCCAAAGCAATACAGAGAAACCCTGTCTCAAACAAACCAAAAAAAAACCATGAAAATGAATCAATATCTGAGATTCATGTTTTGTATTTCACCTGGCACTTTGCCAAAGCTGCAGATATGCAGAATTTTGTCAGATGACTTCCTTCACAAAAAAACAAAATCAATCCTGGGAGGTGATGGTGCAGACCTTTCTTTAATCCTAGCACTTAGGAGGCAGAGGCAGGCAGATCTCTGAGTTCTAGACCAGCCTTCTCTACAAAGTGAGTTTCGGGATAATCAGGGCTGCTGTTACACAGAGAAACACTGTCTTGAGAAGAAAAAAAAAGCAAATCCTAAACAAACAAAAAAACAACACAAGGGATTGGGTTGGGGAGATATTACTTAAAGGAATCCTACAGTTTTGTAAAAGTGGAGAATTATTTCCACTTAGTCAGATGGGCACTGAGAAGCAAATCAAAGATGGTATTTAAGACCCTCTGTTATGACACTTCTTTTCCTTTTATTGTTTCTCCAAACAGGGTCTCGTGTAGCCCAGGCTGGTTCTTAAGTCATTATTTAGCTAAAGGCTTTCCTTAAATTCTTTTTTGTTTTGTTTTGTTTTTGAGACAGGGTTTCTCTGTGTAGCCCTGGCTGTCGTAGAACTTATTCTGTAGACCAGGCTGGTCTTGAACTCAGAGATGTGATTGCCTCTGACTCCCAAGTAAGTGCTGGGTTCAAAGACATGCACCACCACCACCTGGCTGGTCTTAAATTTTTGATCCTCCTGCCTCTACACCCAAATACTAAGACTACAGCTGTGCCTACAGTATCCACTTTAGGGTTGTAATTGGATTTGTTCCCTGGAGACGGTCATGGGCTCCTGAGATGACTCCTTGGGTAAAAGCCTGTACCAAACAAATCTAACAACCCTGGTTTGTTCCTTGAAGTCAAAGGTGGAAGAAAGAACTGGCTCCCAAGAGTTGTCTTCGCCTCACATGCTGGCCATGCACATATCACAATGGTAATAAACTTGGAAAAAGTAGAAAACTGTGTGTATTGATCACTTTTCTCCTCATATGGCAGAACAGCTTAAGTAAGAAGGGTTTATCTTGGCTCACAATTTGAGAATGCAGTTCATCGTAGCAGGGATGCCATGGCAACGGGAGTCTGGTCACATTGCTTCTGCATTCATGATGCAGGGCCAGATGCGTGCCGGTGATTGGTTCTCTCTCAGCTTTTTATTCTGTCTAGGACCTCAGCCCATGAAATAGTGACAGCCATGTCTAGGGCAGGTCTTCCTCTCTCAGTTAACCCAATGTAGGAGCTTCTTCAGTGACATGCCAGGAGGTTTGTCTCCTAGGTGATTCTAGATTGTCAAGGTGACAATTTAACCATCAACACTGGGCAACCTGTATTTGCTGAGGGTTTTACCATCTGGGCTGGACCATGGTCTGGCAACACTAGCTTGGGGGTCTGGATAGAGCTGGTAATGTACACTTCATAGACCAATTACTACCCCAAGAAAGCCAAGTTTGCTAGAAAAAGCAACAAATAGGATGGGGGAAGCAGGTCACAAAGAAGGTCTGTCTCCCTCAGGCTCCCACAGGCAAACTGAGTGTCCACTCCAAGCAGACCTTGAAAACAGCAATGCAGCCTGCTGAGCCGCAGATAGAAGAACCTGAGGATTCCAGGGAGCCCAGCATGGAGGTGACAGCAAGCCCTGGGGTCTCCCTCATTTACTGCTGACCCTAAGACAGAAGACAAGGGAGAGGGGTGGGCTACAGAAATTATTTCTTAGTATGGGTCAAGTCCTGTATTCCAGATCCTCAAAGTCCTCCCTCTGGCTGCAGCCTCCAGCTGCTGGGACATGTTGGGTCCTTCTCCAGCTGGCAGACCTCTTAAAAAAAACAACTCTCATTTGCCCACGGCTTCCTCCCCATGAGCTGAGGAGGCACAGAGATAAATCCCTGTAGAGAGTTGGAAAGGGCAAGAAGGGGAGGAAGGACTAGGCCCTTGGGTTGGAAACTTCATGCCACTTCAGTCACCAAGGCACCTTTTCTGCAAAGACATCTTCAGAGCAAAATTTGAACCTGCAGTCGGAACCCACTGTCACATTCCTGTTTACACTCCTGAACACTCCTGAGCCCAAAGATGCTGAATCGTAAGGCTGCCTAAATGGGTGTCTTAAGTGGGTAGGTATTACCCCAGGGAGGTGGAGGACAAACACCCCCTCCCCGGACTATTCAAACCTGTGCTAAGTTTAAGCTTTGGTCTGAATAGCAGGAAGGCCCGCCTACACCTGACAGATGGAGCTGGGTCTTGGGTTGGGAACTATGAACTGGCCTCCAGACTGAGGTCTGCTCTCACCTCCCCAGGGACACGGAGACACTGGAGCACCGGTTCCTGGGTCAGGAAGACTGGGGCCCTAAGCGTACTTCAGCGGAGATACAGAATTTGCAGAGGGACTGTAAGAGGTGAGCTTCAGGGACACGGGGGTTGGGGGGGAGGGGTTACAAGACAGGATGGTGAAGTCAGCTCTGGTTCTTAGCTGAGGGCTTTGGCTGTGGCTTTAGTCTTAACCCTCACCTCCCAAGCAAAAGTATCCTACAAATCAGGATCTGTCCCACTGGTTAGTGACCACAGCCATGGCTGACTGTCAGGAGTCTAGTATATTGAGGATTCCTACCTTTAACTGTCCAAGAACTGGATAGGCAGCTGGCTGTAGAGGGCTCCATTCTGTGATGTCAGCCAGCGGAGCTTGGCGTCTGCTCAATTCTACCTGGCAATAGAGGTCCTGGGATGGAAGTGATGCCTCTCCTGCAGTGCTTCATGCCTTTAACTATGGATCTGAGCAATGCAAATTTACACCCACATACTGCAGGTACAGGGCTCTCAGGCAGGGCTGGTTCATAGTAGAAACTCACCAACCTGGAACCATACAGAGTCCTAACCAGCCCTGATACAGCACAGAGGGATGCCAGGTCTCTGTCCTGCTCCATGGAGACTTCAGAGGACTCATGGCCCAGCCCAGGTGATAAGCAGCCTATCTCTTGCTAAAGAAGAGTTGGGTATGAGTACACAACTGCAACACCAGCATTTGGAAGTAGAAGCAGGAAAACCAGATGTTCAACATCATTTTTGCTTTGAGAATTCTAGGTCAGCCTGGGCTATGTGAGACCTTGTTATGAGTAAAAAACAAATAAGGGTGTGGATGTAGCTCAGCTGGTTGAGCCTTTCAGGAAGCTGGGATTCCAATCCCAGTATTGTATAAACTAGCTGTGGTGGAACGTGGTCTCAGCGGTTGGGGGTGGAAGTGGAAAGGTCAAGAGTTCAAGGTCATCCTTGTCTCTACAGTAAGCATGAGGCTAGCCTGGGCAACGTAAGAGTCTGACTCAAAATTGTCTAATTAATTAAGGAGAAGGGGCTGGAGAGATGGCTCAACAGTTAAAGAGCACTTGGAGAGGACCCAGGTTCAGGTCCCAACATTCACATAGAGGCTCACAACTGTCTATAACTCTAGTCCCAGGCGATCCTGTTAGGAACTAGCAGTCTACTGACCCTGCCCCCAACGATGGGGCCCCAATGATGGGCAGGACGCTCATAGCCATGTCATCGCTACATCAGGCTTTACCTGGCTGCTCAAGCTTTATCTGGCTGCCAGAGGACTCAGTTACCCATGTGCAAGACCCCCTTTTAAAGCAAGTGTGTCAAGCGCGCCCTCTTCTCTTGCCCTCTCTCTCGCCCTCTCTCTCTCTCTCTCTCTCTCTCTCTCTCTCTCTCTCTCTCTCTCTCTCTCTCTCTCTCTCCAGCTTTCGGTTGGCCACCAGCTACCCTCCTTTCTCTCCCTTCCCTCAATAAACTCCACGTGGGCATTGAGTCTCAGGTTTGTGTTTTATAGGCATTAGGGATCCGATTCCCTTTTCTGGCTTCTGAGGACACCAGGCACAGGAGCATGCAAAGCATTCATAATATAAGCTAGAAATAAGTTAATTTTTTTTCTTGTTTATTTTTAGAGACAGATTTTTACTCTGTAGCCCTGGCTGTCCTGGAACTCACAGATATCCACCTGTCTCTGCCTCCTGAGTACTGGATTAAAGGCCTGAGCCACCACCACTCAGCTTAAATAAGTAAATCTTAAAGAGAATGCTGGGGAACTCAAGAGATGGCTCTGGAGTTAAGAACTCTTTCAGAGACCTGGATTCTACTGTCTATAACTCCAGTTTCAGAGGATCTGAAACCATCACACCAATGCATATAAAATATTTTTAAGTAAAAATAAGTAAATACATACATAAAATAGAAAGCTGGGTACGGTGGTCCATGCCTTTAAATCCCAGAACCAGGAGGTAAGGAGGGTTGTTCTCTGTGTGTTTGAATTCAGTCTTGTTTACATAATGAGTTCCAGGCCAGCCAGGACTACATAATGAGTCCCTATCTCAACAACAACAAAACAAAAATATAAAAACAAAAAAATGAAAAAAAAAAATAGGCAGAGGCAGGCAGGTCTTTGTGAGTTCCAAGACAGTCTCCAAAGTTACGGAGAAACCCTGTCTCAACCCCCACCCCACTCCCCAAAAAAAAGAGAGAGAAAGTAGCTGATAGAGGTTACACAGAAGGGACAGTTCCTCCACAGTGGTGATGTGGGTTACGTCCAGCCTCCTAAGGAGGCACCAGCCAACAGAGCTGGCCCAGGAAGTGTGTGACTGGGGAAAGAGCCTGGGGTTCAGGTGACCCCTCTTTTACTCTAGGCTTCAGGAGGCACTTAACACTAACCAAAGGAACAACCTGGACCTTGAAGAGAGGCTACAAAACCTGGTGAGACCCCAGCCCCAGAGCCATGCCTTTGCCTTGGCTCCTCCCTGCCCCCAGCCTCGTTCATTTGCTTCTGGGGCTGAAGGTAGTCCTGCTTGTCAGCCATCATCTCAGGCCCTGCAACCCTTTCTCCTAGCCTACCTCATTGTACGAGAACATTGAGGAAACTTTGGTCACTCAGATGTCAACTGAAGTCTCCCAAGAGGAAGCAGGGGTCACCCAGGAGAAGGCAGGGGTCACCCAGGAGAAAGCACAGGACACCCAGGAGAAAGCACAGGACACCCAGGAGAAAGCACAGGACGCCCTGGAGGAAGCACAGGACGCCCTGGAGGAAGCAGAGGACACCCAGAAGGAAGCCATGGCTCTCAGGCAGATGAAGAGGGCTTCTACCCAGCGCTACTTCCTTGAGCCTCTCATACTGTTGCCAGCAGCCACCCTATCCCCAGAAAATAGTGTCTCACAGGGACAGCAATCAGCCCTGGCCAGGCCTGAGGCCAGAGAATTGACACCTCTTCAGGAGGCTGCTCCACTACTCAGCCCCTCTTCAAGCTCCAGCAATAAAGATCCCCACTGAGTTGCAGAAGCAAGCGTCCATGGGCCTGGCACTTGGGTGGGGTAGAATCCAGCCACTCCAAGGAGAGCTGGGTCTCGGGACCTTCCTAACCCCCACAGCCCTGCCTTCAGACTCACTCAATCCTGTTGTCTAGTGTATCCAGGGTGGGACAGGATAGGGGTCTCTACTTCATCCTTGAGGATCAAGGCTATAATTTGAGAGTATAGGCATAACACACAAAGGTCAGGATGAATTTCTTCCCATTTATGACCTCCACCAAGTCACCACTCTTTTTATTGGGGAGGGGCTTACTTAGAGCCATTTTTGTCATTTAAAAAATTTTTGAAGCAACAGTTGGGGGGCTTGGGCAGTTTATGGGGCTGCTGGCAGTGTCACCACCCTTTTGTAAGTTATGGGTGGGAAGCAGAAAGATGGTGGGAACTCCCCAGGGCCCGGAGATGCATCTAGATCTGGGCTTTGCCTCTCAGGATTTGTCCGGCATAGGGAGCCTCATTAGGTGCCCACATAGTGGGAAACTAACAAAGATAACCTGTATAAACTGACAATTGACTGCTCCATGGCATAGTTAAGGGGAAATTGTTTATTGTAGAGATGAAAGAGAACAGTCAGAGCCATGTGGAAGAGTCAAAGAGAGAAGCAGATTGAACACGCCCAACAGACCAGACCTGACCAGGGCTTTCTGTGAGAGAAGGGAAAATGGAGAAAACAGAAAACACAGAGCAGAGCAGAAGAGAGTGAGAGATGAACAGATGGATGGGTGGGTGGGTGGATGGGTGGATAGATGATAGATAGATAAATAGAAGAGCAGGGTATACTGGGTGGTGGTAGCCCACAGAGTGAGTTCCAGGTTTTCTAGGACAGGTTTCAAAGCTACAGAGAAACTCTGACTCAAAAAACCAAAAAATGAAAAAATAGCAGGGTATTTGGAGGGGGGTGGTAGTGGCACACGCCTTTAGTTCCAGCACTAGGGTGATACAGGCAGGCAGATCTCTGAGTTCCAGGCTAACCTGGTCTACAGAACAAGTCCAGGACAACTAGGATTGTTACATAAAACAAAACAAAACAAAACCAAGGATAGTAGGGGAGGGAGTAGCGGGGGAGGGAAACCCTAGGTAAAAGTCAGCTGTATCCACCCTACTCCACTTTAGCTAAATAACCTCTACGTTTATGGAGCCTAAGCTAGAACTTTTCTCTAACTCTCAAAGTTTAAAAAGGATAGGAAACCCTAGAAAGAGTAGGGGTGGGAGTCAGGTGACCTTTGCACTGCTCTTGGGCAGACACCATCCAGGAACTCCCTACCTATAGCTCCTCCTCCAAATAGGCCTGACTCTCCTGCCATCCCCAGGCTTAGCAATCAAAGCCAAGACCTCACTGTGCTAGGCAAGTGCTTTGCCACCGAAATACATACAGCTCCAGCCCCTCTTCTCTCTCTGTCTTTGTAGTGCCAGGGGTTGTCCCAAGCTGAGGGCACACTTAGACATGGCTTGACTTTGTCTCAGTTTAACCTGAGCAGAGCTCACACCTTTGATTCAACAGTACACCTCTTCAGAGATGCAATCCCCACCTGATGATTGGAGTGGGTTTCAGGCATCCCCTTCACCCATTTCCTGCCATCCTTGACCACTGGCAGAGTTGTACAATATCATTTTCCAAAAAGGAATCACCCAATACCAGGGATTTTTTTTTTAAGATTTATTATTTGTACAGTGTTCTACCTGCATGCCACAAGAAGACACCAGATCTCATTACAGATGGTTTGTGAGTCACCATGTGGTGGCTGGGAATTGAACTCAAGTCCTGTGGAAGAGCAGCCAGTGCTCTTAACCTCTGAGCCATCTCTCCAGCCAGACCAGGGATGTTTTGGCCAACAGTTAAATGATGAATCTGCCTAACTGTGTAAGGACCTCTCCCCACATTTATTAGAGACTACCATTTATCATGTGTAAAAATATTCTCCAGTATACAAAATGTTCCTAATAATAGTTTTCTGTCCTCCATAATAGATTTATCTGCTGATGCCGTGAACCAGATAAAGCCCAGATGAAAACGTATTACAACAGGTTTATCTGAGCAAAGCAACTACCAGGAAAGTTCTCTAGTCCCAGAGATGCTGTACCCCAAAACTACAGCAGGGAGACTGTATAGGTTGTAGGCAATGGGTGATGATATGTCTGCCACAAGCTGGGTTTGTGTCCAAGTGTAACAAAAACTGAGCAGTTAGGTGGGGACTTGGGCTGCTAACAACATTAGGGAAGGAAGTTGCAGTAGTTGCTAAGAATTCAGAACTGGTCTTTTTTGGCTCCTTTCCTTAGTTTGGAGACTCTCTGAGTGGGTGGGATTTGGAGAGAGTGGGAGAAGGACAGAGAGGGAGGTAGGGAGGGAGGAATGTGGCCCAGGCAGGGGTGAGCTAGAGGTTCCAACTGAACAATTATAGTAATAAAGCCTACTTTCACCCCCTCTGTGTCCACAACATTATTCAATTTAGATTGCTTAATCGTTAAATATTGTCCAATAGGACTGAAGACTAAATACTTGAGACTCTGAACAAGATAATAAAATGCTTCTAAGCCTTCTGGGCCCTTAGATTGGTTAACATTCACAAGGAAGCAAATTTTTAAATTACAGTTTATAATAAGGGGAAAGTACATGCGCTTCAATACTTGTCGAGGTCAGAGGACAACTCTATGAAGAGTTCTCTCCCTTCACCTTTATATGGGCTCCAGGGATCAAACAGATCCCCAGGCTTGTATGGCAAGCTGAGCCATCTCTCCGGCCTGGAGCCCATCTCTGATAGAAAATCACCAGTGGTGATTTCAAACTCTTGCCAGTTTAGTCTGGAGGGTCCACAACATTGCTTTCCTCAGGATTTCAGTCAACAATAACAAACTGTGCCGACACACTTATGTAAATAAACCTCTTTTTCTGACCAAAACATCTTTGTTTCTGTTTTTGTTTTTTGAGACAAGGAAACAGGTAGACCACATGGCCTCGAACTCACAGATCTGCCTGCCTCTGCCTCCTAAGTGCTGGGATTAAAGGCATGCACCACCACTGCCTAGTCCAAAACATCATTTTTTGTAATTGCTGTTATTGGCATATTTCAATTTCCTTTTGGGTTGGGTGGGAATTAAACTACAAAACCCAAACTGTCTTGTTATGCAGATAAAAGTTACTTTCCTTGCCTAATAAGGGACAAGATGGAATTTAGGGACAGACCAGCCTGAGGTCTGTGCCTGCTGGGCTTTCTCTTTCAAAGCAGAGTAAATATAGACTAAGGAAAACACCATAAAGTTCAAGGAATTCCAGGGAAGGAGTACCCCATCCTAAGGATTTCCATCAAGAGCAGACATCATTGTGGCCTGACTTACCTATTCCCTCTGACACGCTTCAGGCCTGAGAACCCAGGAAAGCAGTCTCTTGGGCACTACCAGGGCTGCCAGGCTGCTAGGAATCAAGTCAGTTACAGAGCCACCAGCTAGTTCTCAGCCACAGAGGTATAGACTTCTCTACTGTTATAATTTTAAAAAGATATGTCAGGACAAAGTCACACCATCCAACAGGGCTCACATGGAAGGTTTATTGGAAGAGGAGAGAGAAGGAGCAGAGAGGGGGGCAGAGACTGGTCCCTGGGGACAAGAGTGGTAGAAGAGAAAGAAAGAGAATGAGGAAGAGAAAAAGAAACAGACAGAAAGACAGACAGAGAAAAAAGAGAGGAGGTAGGCAAAAACGTTATGAATGTAAACAGATGTTCCTCTTAGAGGCTGCAGCTGAGGACGTACCCTCTCATCACCCCAAGGACAAGTCAGTACAGATGCCTGAATACTAAAACCTAGTCTACCTGACTCTAGAGTTCTGGGCTTCAGCTTGTATTGTTCTAAACTCAGTCCCCATGGCCACTCCAGGCAACACTGCCAGGCAGTACCAGCCTAATACTCTCTTTCAAATCCAAGTCCCACAGAGAAGCTGTGATGGCTTTACAAGGCCTCTCAGTTGACAATCAGCTGGCTTCCCCAGATCTGGTAGTCAAAAGAAGTCTTGGTGTCTGCCAAAACACCATGTCCAGTCCTCCAGACTTGTTGGTCCTCAAGACACTGGGCTGGCTGACTACAGACCCTCTTGTGACCCTCTGGTGCCATCTCCAGGAAGTTCAGAGCCTGTAGGCACTTTCCTGCCTGGAGGCTGCTGAGACAGCTCAGAGTGGAGTGAGTGTGGAGCTTTAGCCTCATTCCTGCTCTTTGTTCTAATCACAACCAAGGCTTTTGCAGCTCCATCAGCAGCACAGTGCATACCTCAGAGGCTCCTGTTGTGGTTGAAGCATTTATCCTAGTGAATTCTGGGTATTATCTGTCTCTGTTTGAGAGGCCTAGGAGAAGCAGGGTTTGGTGTGTGTGTGTTTGTGTGAATTGAATTGTTGGATCCCCACACTGGGGAGACCCCCTCTGGAATCCTGGGATGCAATAATCTTCCACGGAAATTGGCACTTGATGCAAAACAGTAAGAGGCTTTTTATTCCAGCTGGCTGGGGTTCAACCACACAAAAGAGGAGAGAGCAAGCCCCAGCCCAATTTTACATGAGCATATAAAGACAAAAGCCACAAGCGGTGTGTGTAAGGTGGGGGGGGGTCTGGGATTAGAGGCTAGCAAGCTCCTGATTGGGTGGGCCCAGGTGGCCAGGCTCATGCTCCTATCTGGCACCTGCTTCTGTGTTTCTAGGAAATGTTTTGCAAGCCCATCCCCAGGGATCCTTCCTGGTCAGGAGTGCATGTTCTCAAGCTATTCTGGGACCTAGGGCTACTGAAAAATTTCCATCTTAACAGTATATGAACATGTTCTTTGAACATATATGTGTGACTGTTTGTGCATGAGAATAGGAGGGAGTAAGACTTGCTGAGTCACAGCCTTGAGTTATGATGGGCTGTGGTCCAGGCCCAAGGGTGGAGGCTGACCTCATATGGAGACATGGAATGCTTATTCTGCCATGGTAGGAGGAGGGCAGGACAAAGGGATGGGCCAGGGCTAGGAGACTGAGTGGTGGAGCAGTGACCGGGAAGCACAGTTATTAACTGAAACCTGGGTGGAGAGAAGGTATGCAGGCTTAAGAGAAGATAGAGAGCTAGCAACATGGCTTGGTGGGTGATGGGCTTGTCACCAAGCTGTCCTCTGACCTCTATATTTTTGTTTTTGTTTTTGGAGACAGGGTTTCCCTGTATTGCTTTGGAGCCTGTCCTGGAACTCACACTATAAACCTATAAACCAGGCTGACCTCGAACTCACAGAGATCTGCCTGCCTCTGCCTCCCGAGTGCTGGGATCAAAGGCACGCACCACCAACACCCAGTGACCTCTGTATTTTTGCTACAATATGGACACATACATATTTTTGTTATTGTTCTTTTGTTTTGTTTTTAAGACATGTTTTTCTGTATAACAGCCCTGGCTGTCCTAGAACTCACAGTGACTGCCTGCCTCTGCTTCCTAGTGCTGGGAATAAAGGTCTTTACACATGATCCACATAACTAGTATTTTTTAAAACATGTTTATTTGCTTTTTTAAAAATTAAATTTTATTTTATGTTCATTGGTCTTTTGCCTGCAAGCATGTCTGTCTGTCTGTCTGCCGAGTGAGGGTGTTGGGTCCCTGGAACTGAAGCTACAGACAGTTGGGAGCTGCTGTGTGGGTGCTGGGAACTGAACCCAGGTGCTCTCAACTTCAGAGCCATGTCTCCAGCCCCATAAAAGCAGAGGGGAGAAGGTATCAGACCTGTGGGCCCAGCCAGGGCAGTGGGATAGCCTTTTTAGCACTTGATGAAGGAAGACCTTCAGAAACTTGACATAGTTTTCTGGTTGTGCTCAGAGAAGTCACTGGGAAGTGGAGCTGTCCCACCCTGATGCTTGCTGAGGTCCAAGCAGACATTCCCAGAATTGGAGCTGTGTCTTACATGCTGCGCCTGACCACCCAGGGCCATGTGATACTACAGCACAGGCACTGTTGGTGTCCTAAGCAAATAGAATGAAGGGTTACAGGCTGGGTCAGGGGAAGGAAAACAGTGGGTGGAAAGGAGCTCATTGGCTCTCCCACTGAGGTGAGGGAGGGAGGGAGAGAGGGAGGGAGCTCACATGCTTTTAGCTCTCTGCACTGAATTCCATCAGTGCCCACAGTCTAGAATGTTCAGAGCCAGGGTCATAGTGCCCATCTAGCCAATGGGTCTAAGTGTCTGTGGAAGTCTAGATACTAAATGATTCCAATAGCCAGAGCTGACTTTTCTTTTTTATTTTTGTTTTGCTTTGTTTTTCAAGACAGAGTTTCTCTGTGTAGTTCAAGGCCATCCTGGTCTACAAAGCAAGGTCCAGGACAGCTAGAGTGAGAGAGACCCTGTCTTGAAAAACAAAACAAAAGACTTACTTTATGTATATAGGTGTTTTATGCCTGCCTGCATGTTTGTGTACCGTGTGAATGCTGGTGCTTGCAGAGACCAGACGAGAACATCAGACCCTCTGGAAGTGGCATCAGGGGTGACTGGTTGTGAGCCACCATATTGAATCTGAGAACTGAACCTGGATCTTCCACATGCAAATCTCTTCACTCCCTCCATTTTATTTGAGATAGGTAGGGTCTTTCACTCAACCTGGAGCTCCCTGATTTGGCTATCCTGGCTGGTCAGCAGACCTGGGGGATTCTCTCCCCAGTCCCTCAACCCTATAGGGTTGTTAGGGCTATAGACAGGAGCCACCATGCCCAGCCTTGTACAAAGATTCAGGGAATGGAAGTCAGGTTCTCATACTTACAGAGAAGCATCTCACTGACTAAGACTTCTTCCCTACACTTATTTTTTTAAGGCAGGGTCTCATGGGGCTGGTCTCAAACTCACTGTTTCCTAGGCTGGTCTTGAACTCCTGATACTCCTGCTTCCACCTCCAGAGGTGGAAGCCATGCCTAGCTTGAATTGATTTCTCAAATGCTACACATACAAATGTTGTCCACCATGCTCTAAGACACAAATCAGACTCAAGCATAGCTGCACACTCACTCTTGACTAGTTGTCTCACAGTTGCTTCAAATGTTTAAAGAACTAAATTCTTAGGACAGGGTGTGGCTGTACCCTGGATGTCATCTGAACCTCTGCTATTCAGTTTATCAGCTAACCTTAGCAACTGTCTTCCAGTTCCTTCTGAGAAAGGTATGTGTTCTGCACATTGACAGTCTTCTGATAAGATCCAAGGACACAGTCTGGGCCCTGATAATAATCAAGCCTGCTTATCTCTCCTGTGGGACTTTGTTTCCTGGGGCCTGCCATGAAGATGGATTAGAGGTGAATAAATGAAGGTCCAATCACAGGAGGAGATAGATAGGAAAATGGGTGGTTGGAGAGGTGGATGGGAGTAAGAGGGTAATTAGAGGGATGGAAGAGAAAGGCCAGTGGATGGGAGGAAGGACAGAATATGGCAGTGCAGCATTTAATCCCAGCAGAAGGGGGAGAGGATGGCAGATGTCTGTGAGTTTGAGACTAGCCTGATCTAGAGAGCTGTAGGCCACCCAGGGATACACAATGAGCTTCTTCTGTCTTTGGGGAAAAAAAAGGATGATGGGTAAATTCCACATCTGGGGATGCAGAACCTTGCTTTGCCTGGTCATGTGAGTTTCCTGGTTTAGATTCTGCAACAGGCTCCTCCTCAAGAGTCCCACTTCCTCCCCCAAAGTGGAACTTCTAAGAGGCAGAAACAGAAAATCCTGCCAACCCTTCCCTCCGTTTGTGCCCTGACACTGGACTATAAGCATCTCTATGGATGGAGTCTAGCTTCATGAAGACAACAGAACGAACAGTTTTCTAGCAAGGAAAATGGGCTCAGAGAAGCTAAGTGAATTGACTAACATGACTAGCAAAATGATATCATTTGAACTAAAACTCTGCTCAAGCCATCAAGGCACCAGTGTCAGAGGCTGAATGACCTCGATGAGGACACAGAGGTGACAGGGTTCACAGTGGGGCAGTCAGCAGAGCCCTGTACATTCCAGACTTGCTGTGGTGTCAGTTTCACAGGGAGACCTGGAAGGACCATTCCCTTTGCCAGCTGTGGTGTCCCCACATTGTCCTGGTTCTTTCAGACAGCCCTTTCAGATGAACAATTTAAAGTGTGGTTCAGGTGTCTGTTCCTGGCTGTCACTGCAGGATGTTCCCTGGCTCTTCAGCACAGGGACAAAAGAACAGCACCACCCAGGAGTAATGGTTAACCAGCTGGACACCTCATATATAAGGAAGACCAGCCAGGGCTGCTGGGCTGTTTCTACAGGATGCACTGGGCAAAAATACTGGGGGTGGGCATCGGGGTTGCTGCCCTGTTTGGACTGGGGATCATCCTGGGCCACTTTGCCATCCCCAAAGCAACTGACCCTCAGTCCCCCTGCACTTCAGACTCCCAGGACCTGGACCTGGCAATCCTTGACTCTGTAATGGGACAACTAGATGCCAGCAGGATCCGAGAGAACCTTCGGTAAGAGGTGGGTCCTCCAAAACCCCTGTTAGGCAGGGACCTCCCCTGACACACTCCACCCTCCCCTGCTCACCCTTCAGAGAACTCTCCAAGGAGCCACATGTGGCCTCCAGTGCTCGGGATGAGGCCCTGGTTCGTCTGCTGCTGGAACGCTGGCAGGATACCGAAACTGGCCTAGACTCAGCCAAGACCTCTGAGTATAAGGTCCTGCTCTCCTTCCCCAGCCAAAAGCAGCCGAATATTGTGGAAGTTGGTGAGGTCCTGTGCAGGAATTCTGGGGTGGTGAGGGCTGCTGCTGGGACCAGCACTGACCTGGCTTTCTCACACAGTGGGTCCCAATGGAATGGTCTTCCACTCCTTCCAACCTGGAGAAAAAAATCTGACTGGGGAGCAGGTGGAGCCCAATGTGTTGCAACCTTATGCTGCCTATGCACCCCCTGGGGCCCCAAAGGTGAGCCTAGAACCCCCCACCACCATATTCTGTCTCTCTTTGATTCCCACTCTGAAGCAGGGGCATCTGAGGAGTGCTTCAAGTGGAGCCCCAAACCCCCTGCACTGATATTACACATGGTGGTGGTGTTGCTATCCTCCATTAGTCATTCAGCAAACACTAGTTAGAGGTCTCTACTCAAAACCTTGTACAGGACACTTAGAGAAGAGGGTAGCCACTTTGGGGGTACATCATCTTTGGGTGAGGAGAGAGAACCAAAGCTCTTGCTGCTGCTACTCTATCTTTGTATCCCTTTGTACCTGCCTTTGGCCAAGCCTCACCTACAGCCCTTTCCTCTTGGGATTAGGGCCTGCTCGTCTATGCCAACCGAGGCTCAGAAAAGGACTTCGAGGATCTGGAGAAGTGGGGCATCAACCTTGAAGGCACAATTGCCCTGACTCACTATGGGGGTGTGGGACGTGGAGCCAAGGCAAGTAGCATTCACTGTGCAGGGACCTGGGTAGACAAGGGCCAAGGGTGGGCAGTGCTAGGAGAGAAAGAGACTGCGCTGTAAGTTTATGTGGGCTGGTGTCCCCTCACACCTGGGCTTGTGTCACCTGGTATTCTAAGGGCCAACAGGGACAAAAACCCCAAGCTCTTAGGTTCCTTTTTGTCCCCTCAAGACAGTGTCTCTCAGTGTAGCCCGGGCTGTCCTGGAACTCACTCTGTAGACCAGGCTAGTCTCGAACTCACAGAGATCTGCCTGCCTCTGCCTCCCCAGGGCTGGGATTAAAGATGTGTGCCCACACTGCTCAGCTAATTGGCAATTTGAAAAACAAGGTTTAAGAAGTCTTTTTTTTTTTCCTCTTAAATTTATGTATTTACTTATTTATTATGTATACAGTGTTCTGCCTGTATGTACACCTGCAGGCCAGAAGAGGGCACCAGACACAGGAGCTCACTACCATGTGCTGGGAACTCAGGACCTTTAGAAGAGCAGGCAGTGCTCTTAACCGCTGAGCCATCTCTCCAGCCCTAAAAAGTCTTTTTAAAACCTTTTTTCTTTTTTCCATGTTTATTTATTTGAGGGGAAGAATGTTCCTGTGTGTGGGAACAGAGGACAACTTGCAGGAGTCCGTTCTTTCCTCCCACCATGTGTGTCCTGGGGATTGAACTCAGGTCACCAGGCTTGGTGGCAAGCACCTTTTACCTGCTGTGCCATCTTACCAGCCCAGGAATCGACTCTTTAAGTTGTGTTTTATTCAGAGACCTGGTGATCTATAATATAAAGTAGCACAGGCTAACATCTTAAAAACTGGCATTTCCTCCCCAGCCAGGAGGTCCATACAGTGAGAAAGAAGCAAAGGCAGCAGTCATTCTGGAGCTCGGTCAGGATCATTGGCTCAGGGCTAGCTACATACATGAGACTTGCAATGTTTTTGTCTCCTTTTCATCCACTGCACTGTCTGCTCCTTCCCTGGGTGTCTAATTAAGTGTCTGCTGATTCCAACCAGGTACTCTGGGGCTGGGGCAGGGCTAACTGAAATAGACCACTAACAACACATCCTATAGGCTCCTTCCTGCAATGCAGAGGACCCTGGGGCTCCATGGATGGCAGCTGGTCTAATCAAATTGGAAAGCTCCAGGATTTAGGGAGAGAGGGTATCTCAAAAAGTATGGTGGAAGTGGAGCACACCTTTAATCCCTGAAGAGGGAGGCAGAGGTAAAAAGATGTCTTGTGAGTTCCAGGCCAGCCTGTACTACATAGAGTTTTCCAGGATTAGAAAAAACAAACACAAAACAACAACAAAAAACCAAGCCAGGTGTGGTGGCGCACAGCTTTAATCCCAGCAAAGACAGGAGGAGCTGTATGACTCTGAGAATAACCTGGTCTATGTAGAGAATTCCAAAACAGTTAGGATTATATAAACAAAGCAACACCAATAACCTAAATAACCAAAAAGGTGGAAAGTGATCAGGTGCACAGACACTTGTACAAATACACACACACACACACACACACACAGAGAGAGAGAGAGAGAGAGAGAGGAAGAGAGAGAGAACAACCCCCCAAACACCCACACACAAAGAAAATGGGGGAGAAAATAGAAAGCGGATGGGGGATAGTAGCTGCTGCTTGTTCTTTCCCCCAGTTTTTCTATTTTTTTGAGACAAGGTTTCTCTGTGTAGCCCTGGCTGTCCTGGAACTAGCTCTGTAGACCAGGCTGGCCTCGAACTCACAGAGATCCACCTGCCTCTGCCTCCCACGGGCTGGGACTAAAGGCGTGCCCCACCAATGACCCGAAGCTGTCACAGTTTTAAAGTCTATGATGTGTTAAGAACATTGGTGATATGCACCATCATTACTATCCATGTAATTATTATTATTTGAAACCAACATTGCAGGGGCTGCTGTAGAGATGGCTCTTGCTGGGCCTGAGTTCAGATCCCATGTCAGGTGGCTCACAACTACCTGAAACTTCAGTTCCAGGAGATGGGCACCTCTGGCCTCCTCAGGCACTGGAACCCATGCACATACCCACTTACAGACACACAGACACATTATTTAAACAAATAATAAAATACATCTTTCGCTTTTTTGGGGGGTGGGAAGGGTTTTTCTGTGTAACAGCCCTGGCTGTCCTGGAACTGGATTTATAGACCAGTCTGGCCTCAGACTCACAGAGATCTGAGTTTTGGGACTAAAGGTGTGTGCTATGTTTTGTTTTTTTGAACTGAAATTCCATTTAACAATATCTTCTCCAATTGCACTACAGGCCTTTGATATCCTCAACTTCAGTGCCCTTTGTAATTTTAATTGATAATGAGTGTTTTGCCTGAATATAAACGAAATGCCCACAGAGGCTGGAGAGGACATCAGATCCCCTGGAACTGGAGTTAAAGATAGTTAGGAGCTGCCATGTGGGTGCTGGGAATTGAACCTTGGTCCTCTGGAAGAGCAGCCAATTCCCCTTTTTTGTTGTATTTTGTTTTGTTTTGTTTTGTTTTTGTTTTTCAAGATAGGTTTCCTTTGTTGTAGCCTTGGCTACACAAAGTTCTGGACCTTGTTCTGTTTAGCAGTCTGGCCTCAAACTCAAGGAGATCCATGCCTGCCTCTGCCTCCTGAGTGCTGGGATTAAAGGCATTTGCCCCCATAGCATGGCACAGCTAATGCTCTCTCTAGACATGCCAAATTCTTTTTTTTTTTTGTTTTTCGAGACAGTGTTTCTCTGTGTAGCTTTGGAGTCTGTCCTGGAACTAGCTCTGTAGACCAGGATGGCCTCAAACTCACAGAGATCCTCCTGCCTCTGCCTCCCGAGTGCTAGGATTAAAGGTGTATGCCACTGACGCCCAGCTAACTTTTAATTTTTATGAAAAAGGACTTCAGATATTTGTTTGTTTATGTGTCTGTCTGTGTGCCTGTATGTGCAGGTTTATGTTGTATGGATGGCTTCAGTGCCCAGGAGAGGGCATCTGATCCAGTTTGATGGAGTTACAATTATAATCATACATCATTTGCAGGGTGGTGGTAGTGGCACACTCCTTTAATCTCAGCCCTGGGGAGGCAGAGGCAGGCAGATCTCTGTGAGTTCAAGGCCAGCTTTGTTTACAGAATGATTTCCAGGAAAGCCAGGACTGTGACACAGAGAAACCCTGTCTTGATTTTTGTTGTTGTTTGTTTGTTTGCTTGAGACAGTCTCTACATAGCCCTAACTGTTCTGGAATTCTCTGTAGACAAGGCTGGCCTTGAATTCACAGAGATCTGTCTGCCTCAGCCTCCTGAGTACTGGAACTAAAGGTGTGTGACATCATACTTGGCAATATGTAGCATTTTGTACTTGACTTATTTCACCTAGCCTAACATTTTCAAGGTTCCTTGAAGTTGTATTAGGACTTTATTCCTTTTCAAGTCAGAATAACATCCCATCGTTGGACTGCAGATGTGGTTCAGTTGATAGAGTGGTTGCCTAACATGTAGGAAGGAGCTCCTAAATTGGATTCTCAGCAGCCTGTAGAACCGGATGTTGTAGCACACTCCTGTAATCTCAGCACTGGGGGAGGGATTTGGAGGCAGGAAGATCAGAAGCTCAAGGTCATCCTTGGATACTTAGAGAGTTTGAGGCTAGCCTGGGTTGCATAAGACCTTGTCTCCAAGTATATATACCACCTCTTATTCATTCAACTGTACATTGATAGACACTTTGGCTGTTTCTCATTTTAGATGTGAGAATAATGCTGCTTCTAGAAGGTGTACATCTTTTTCTTGCTTGAGACTGAGTTTCACTCTGTGGTCCAGGCTAGCCTCAACTACATAACACTCCTTCCGTTTCTGTGTCTTGAGTGCTGGGATTACAGGCATCAGCCACCGATGACTATATACCTGCACAGTATTCCATCAAGGGTATCTTCCTTTTTTTCAGCCAGATACCACCAGTAGCCCAAGTAGTTCTCCCATAAATTATCCTGCTTGTGGGGAGACAGAGCAATTCTGATTTCCATGTAGAGAAGAGAGGAGGAGGTGTAGGGCCTGCCTGTCCCCGTCTGTCACTTGCACATAGCCTCCTCTGTTTTCTGCAGGCCATTAATGCTGCCAAGCATGGAGTGGTTGGAGTGCTAGTGTACACAGACCCTGGCGATATCAATGATGGGAAGAGCTTGCCCAGTGAAACCTTCCCCAACTCCTGGGGCCTGCCTCCCTCTGGTGTGGAGCGAGGCTCCTACTATGAGTATTTTGGGGACCCTCTGACTCCCTACCTTCCAGCTCATCCCTCTTCTTTCCGCTTGGATCTTAACAACATCTCTGGATTTCCCCCAATTCCTGCCCAGCCCATTGGCTTTGAGGATGCAAAAGACCTGCTCTGGTGAGCCCATGCCCAGTCCTCTGCCTGTCCTCAGACACCTGCAGATGCCAAACTTACCCTCACAGTCATCTCTCCTCCACAGTAACCTCACTGGGGCCTCTGCCCCAGCTACCTGGCAGGGAGCACTGGGCTGTGACTACAAGCTGGGGCCAGGCTTCAGGCAGGATGGGAGCTTCCCAGAAGGCAGGTGAGGCAGGCTTCTCTCTTCCTCCTAGTTTCCCCAACTCCATTCCTCCCTGATGCCCTCTTACTTGACTTTCCTTTTTCCCCTCTTCAAGACCATTTTAGGCCTCTCCAGAGCAGCTGTCTTTGGGGGAAGCTGACTGGAAGGAGTGTGAACCACTAAACTCCATGGGGTCTCCTTGCCCCTCACCCACTTTCTTCTCCAGCCGCTGCCTCCTTTGAACGTGCTGCAGGACCTGGGCAGTGCACTCCTGGCCAGTGTCTGCTTCCCCATCTGAGCGAGTCTGCTCCCAGGCGTCCCCTTTCCCCAAGCCAAGGAGGCTTCCAACCAAAAGAGGGGCAGCTTGGCTTACTGCTTTCCTTGGTCCTACTGGGCAAGTGACTTCCAGTGTCACCTCTCTCTTGGCTTCACTTCCTCCTGAATTTGATAAGGGGACAGGAGAGGGCTTAATTCTAACCGTAGCCTTCATTCCACCCCTAGTGAGGTGAAAATGAGTGTCCACAACAGTCTGGAGCTGAGAAACTCCTCCAATGTCCTGGGCATCATCCAAGGGTCTGTGGAGCCTGGTGAGTCTGCTTGCACCAAGCCCTGCCACTCCCCTGGGCCCTGCAGTGGTTGCAGCCCACCTTGGCCTGCCTGTCCTCTGCTGACCCTTCTCTGCCCCTCTGACTCTGATTCTCCCTTCAGATCGTTATGTAATCTATGGAAACCATCGGGACAGCTGGGTACATGGAGCAGTGGACCCCAGCAGTGGTACCGCTGTCCTCCTGGAGATCTCCCGGGTCCTGGGAACTTTGCTAAAGAAGGGTGAGGCTATCCTCTCTCCTGGTCACTCCTTCCCAGAAGCCCTGGAGTCATTTCCAGCCCACTTCTTCCATTACCTCCCATCTCTAGGGTTCACCTGAGTCAGGACATGAACCCTGGAGGCATAAGTACCTGGGCACCAGCCCCTGGTCTTGGGAACCTTGGGGCTCGAGGAACAGATAGCTGGTATATACTGCCATCTTCAGGAGCCTCCTGTGCATCTTGGTAGAGTCAGGCCCCATAGGCTGTAAACACGGGTCTGTCCAGGCTCTACCCATAGGGTGCCATGCCATTTAAGGCGTGTCTAACTGTTCTGGTGACATTTCAGCACCAGAACCCTTCAGAGAAAAGGGTGGTAGAGCCTCATGTAGGGCAAGGAGTCATAACTATGGAGGAAGCTGAGCAGCCAGGGACAGTGGCAATCAGAGAAGAGATTAGGAAGGAGGTTGAGGCTGTCTGTGTCCAGCTTGGAAAAGGCACTTGTGACATGAACTGGAGAGTTGTTAGCAACCACAGGAGGTCAAACAGATGTAGCCAAGATCAGCTGAGGAGGGCAGGTGGTGAGCTGGGGATAGGTAGATTCCTAGAGCTCTGTGGCCAGCCAATCTAGCCTTCTTGGTTAGTTCTCTTGGCCATGGAGACCTCATCTCAAAAAACCAAGAGGTTACTTGGACATAGCTAATCTTTTCCTCGTGTATTTATTATAATTTAATACCTCAAAGTAGGCAGAGTCTAAATAATCCTATAGATTATCAGAAAATAATAATAAATGGTATAGAGATATGTGCTTTCTGGAAATGAGAAAACAACACCACCAACAAAAAAATTAAACAAACCTTTGATTGTACACACACAAACACTGGCACCCACACAGGAGAGCCCTGGAGATCTGATCGAGGACCATAAAGTGCATGTCTCCAGCAGCTCCTTAGCTCTTCTTGTCTTTCAAGATGCTGGTATTTGTCGTATTTCCAAGTATGGATTAGACAGATTACAATCATGCTCTACATTTCTGGCAAGAAAAAGTGTGGGGATTTGTAGTTACAAACATGTAACATACTGTATATAAAGGTTTTGTTTCTTCTTAAGCCAAAAGATGAATGTTAGGTGTGGTGCTTTATGTCTGTTAGCTCAGACCTCAGGAGACCAAGGCATAAAGAGGGCCAGGAGTTCAAGGCCAGCCTGTTCTACAGAGTGAGTTTCAGACCACCCAGGGTCACAGAGTAAGACCCTATCTCAATAATTAAATAAGTAAATTAATAAATAAGGGTTGGGGTTGCAGGTCAGTTGGTAAAATGCTTACCTATGCAAGAGGTCCTGGACTTGATCCCAGTGAAGGCAGGAGAATTAGAAGGTCAAGGTCAACCTTAGTGAATTTGGATACACTAGATACAAAAGAAAAGATGAGATCCCCAACGGAATCACATGTCTGTGACTCGACACTCCCCCCCCCACCCCCCACAGGGTTTCTCTATGTAGCTTTTGGAGCCTGTCCTGGAACTCACTTTGTAGACCAGGCTGGCCTCAGACTCACAGAGATCCACCTGTCCCTGAGTGCTGGGAGGCTGTACATCTTTTCTAGCTCTTAAGGGTGTGTGCCACCACTGCCCAACCACGTCTGTGATCTTAACACTGGGAAGGCTGAGGTGGGTGGATGGTGAGTTTAAGACTAACCTGTGATACACGAGTAGTTTTAGGCCAACTTCAACTATATATTGTGACCCTGTTTCAGAAAACAACAAAGACTCAAACAAGAATGATCAAATAATCCAGTTGCAGCCAGAGCTGATGACAAAAGAAGGGGCATGTGGAGTTGAGGGAATATGGAGTTGATGAGGGGGCAAGCATGAGTCTCCAGTGTGGCTGGGGACTGTGGCAAGCACACTGTGGGAAGGTAGCCTGGAGATGGAGGCCAGGCTGCAGAATGCTGTGGGAGGCAGGATGGGATCCTGGATAAATCACAGGCTTCTGGGACTGGATGTCTGGATTTAAACCCTGCTCTGCTGTCTATGGCTATGACCTTGGGCAAGTCATTTAAGTTCTCTGTGCCTCAGTTTTCTCAACTGTGAAATGGAAAGATACTGTTGTAAGGGTTGGTTTGGGATAAAGCCATTGGGCAAATACCAATGTATTATCAACAAATATTTCCTGGGATGCTTGGAGATTGAGGGAAGAGGTTCAGATTTCCTCAAGGCAGGTCTACTGTGAACCAGAGAGGAGGTGAGGCATTCTGGCCAAAAGAGGCCGTGACCCAGGGGTTCCTGGGGTAGGGTATGTTGAGAGAGGGAGGCTAGAAAGAGGATCACCTCCTGGAAGTCTGGTAGGTTATTAGGGCTCCCTGACATGAGCTGTACACCTTTTCTAGCTTTTCCCTCCCTTCCATGTCCCCAGCCTATTCCCGAACTCACCCTGGGTCAGAGGACCCTGCTCTCTAACTCCTCATGTGTGCCCTTTTTTCTCCAGGCACTTGGAGACCCCGCAGATCCATCATCTTTGCCAGCTGGGGGGCGGAGGAATTCGGGCTCATTGGCTCTACGGAATTCACAGAGGTGAGTGAGCCTCACAAAAAGATGGGTGCAAGTGGTCCTTGGATGGGGTGGTAAATGGACTGAGGTGTTGTCCCCTAACTCTGTAGGAGTTCCTCAGCAAGCTACAGGAGCGCACAGTGGCCTACATCAATGTGGACATCTCTGTGTTTGGTATGGGAGGTTCTGCCAGCTGGGAGTGGGCAGGAAAAGGAGATGGATCCAAACAGGTCTCCTTGCTTCCTCCCACAGCCAATGCTACCCTCCGGGCACAGGGGACACCCCCTGTACAAAGTGTGATCTTTTCTGCCACCAAAGAGGTACAAGGGGTTGTGGAGGATCTATTTGGCATGGGGCTCACGGATTACAGTTGATCTGGAGATTGGAGTCTGGTAGAGAACCCCATCCAATTTTTGAGGCTGGGTTTCCTGAACCATCAAATGTTCCTCTCTGTACTAGATCAGTGCACCAGGTCCCAGTGGCCTCAGTATCTATGACAACTGGATCCGATATACCAATCGCAGTAGTTCAGTGTATGGCCCCATCCCCAGGTGAGCCCAGAAACCAGAAAGGCAGGACCATAGGCTCAGCATGTCCACCCAGCACCCTCCAAATGCTGTCCTCTCTCTTCCAGCATGGGCACACTCGGTGCAGGCAGTGACTATGCCTCATTCATCCACTTCCTGGGCATCTCTTCCATGGACCTTGCCTACACCTATGACAGGGTGAGCAATCTTCCATACCACTCCCCTCCAAGTACTGTTGCATCAAATCTCAGGGGAGGGTCTGGTACAGACTGTCTCTGACTCATTGACTAAGCAGCTGTGTGTCTTGGTTTTGTTTGCTGTTTTTGTGACTAACACTCTGACAAAAGCGACTTTGAGGACAATAGGTTTTTTTCAGCTCACAAGTCTAGGTCACAGACCATTATAGCAGGAAGTCACAGCAGCAGGAGCTCCAGAGAACACATTACATTCACAGTGAAGGGCAGAAAGCAGTGAGTGAATGTGCCATTACTAGTGCTCAGTTCAATTTCTCCATCCCTGCCCTAGGGAATAGTACTGTAAGACCCTAATTTCAGGGTCCTGATGGGCCGATGGGAGAGCCCCGTGACACAAACACCAAAACCAGGAGATGCAACAAGCAAGAGATGTTTATTGAGCGAGTGCACTTGGGTGTCAGCAATCTTGGGGAAAGCTGCACACCCCTCAAAGGTTTCAGGCTCTTTTTATAGAGAAGACTGCAAATCAGCATACATGCATGGGGCACAAGGTGATTGATTATAAAGTATGATCTCATGTTTGAGAGATCACCCAGGTGTGACTTGAAAAGTCCCCAGACTGTCCATTGGCCAGGTACGACCCAGACAGGGCTATTCATCTGGGACTATTTGTTCCAGGGTTGGGGGCCTACCTATTTCCTTGTTGTGGTCCAAGACCTGGGAGAAACTTCAGTTATTTCACAAAGGTTTGATGATTCAGTCACTAGCCCTATTTAACAGAATCAGCCTAGCATATAACCACTAGTCCCATCACCATAGTAACCTTGCATGTTCTTATAATTCCTGTTCTTTCCTCCCATGTCAATGTCCATTCTTTATGATTTTTCTATATTTCACTTGCAAGGATTATTCTCCTACCCCTTTCTTACATCCTTGCTCTGCAAACTAAAATCTTTCAGTACTACCCAGTATGGTCCTCCCAACCCAATGACTGTAATCAATATAGACTCCCACAGACATGCCCACAGGCCATCCTGATCTAGACAGTTCCTGAGACTCTTCCCGGGTGATTCTAGACTGTGTCAAGTTGACAATGAGAACTAGTCATTAACCCTGAACAACACAGGCCAACTATCTTGGTTAGGGTTTCTATTCTAGGAGACATCATGACCACAACAACTTTTATAAAGGAAGACATCTAATTGGGGTGACTTACAGTTTCAGGGGTTTAGTCTGTTACCATCATGGTGGGACATGGTGATGCAGGCAGACATGGTGTTGGAGAAGGAGCTAAGGCTTCTACATCTCAATCCCCAGGCAACAGGAAGTGAACTGTCACTGTACTTGAGCATAGACTTCAAAGCCCACCTCCACAGTGACATTTCTCCAATGAAGCCACACCTACTCAACAAAGCCACACCTCCTAGTAGTGCCAATTACATTCAAACTACCTCACCAACTTCCTTAAGTTCTCTGAGCATGTTTATACTCATCAGATATTTGTACTGTAGTGCCATGTTATGCCTTATTGAGGAGGAAGACTGGTGTCTATCAGTTGTAGGATGGTAGTGACTAAGCAGAATTGAGTTTGGAAATGCTTTTGTGGGCATCAGCACTAACCAAGCAATGTTAGAGAACTAAGAGGACTCATACATTTTTGTAGGGACTGAGGTGGGAGCTGTAGCTCCTCTGACCTGCCTGTACCTCTTTTCTTTTTGTCTTTTTCAAGACAGTGTTTCTCTGTGTAACAGCCCTGGCTGTCCTTGAACTCACTCTGTAGACCAGGCTGGCCTCAAACTCTTGTAGATCTGCCTGCCTCTGTCTCCCCAATGCTGGGATTAAGGGCCTGTGTGCACCACCACCGCCCAGCTGGCCTGCACCTCTTGAGTGGATGCCCTAAGGCCCTTTCTCCCCCAGCTATGCTGCCCTTGGGTGGTGGAACTGGGATCCCCATACCTGACTCTACAGCCCTAAACTCTTCCTCTGCCCTATCTGGGAGATACCAGGCAGGTTAGTCCCTGAGCCTCAGTTACTCCTCTTAAGTGGAAATCCTGAAGCTCACATGCTGTGCTAACACAGCTTATAGGGTTTTCTACCTCAAGCCTAGCCCCTCTCCTTATTCTTCTAGAGCAAGACCTCAGCCAGGATCTATCCTACCTACCACACGGCTTTTGACACCTTTGATTACATGGAGAAGTTTCTGGACCCTGGTGAGGAGGAAACAGGGACATTCTGATGAGGACAGAAGGATGGGCTGAAGATGCAGCCCTGGCCTTGTATCCCCTTCACAGGTTTCAGCAGCCACCAAGCTGTGGCCCGGACTGCTGGGAATGTTCTTCTAAGGCTCAGTGACAGCCTCTTCCTGCCTCTCAATGTCAGTGACTACAATGAGACACTACGCAGCTTCCTACAGGCTGCACAAGAGAATCTCAGCAACCTACTACAGCAGCATAATATCAGCCTGGGTATGTACACCCCAACAAAGAAGTCGGGGAACCTTGTATCCCCAGGCAGGGCTAAGCCAGTTGTTTCCCACCCAGGTCCCCTGGTGACAGCAGTGGAGAAGTTCGAGACAGCAGCTGCAGCCTTAAACCAGCACATCTCAGCCCTGCAGAAGAACAACCCTGAGTGAGCATGAGCAGTGGGGCAGGTGTCTGGAAGGGGCCACTAAGGGTACATATCAAGCTAGCAGTTGAACTGCTGGCTTGCAGGGTGATCCATATGCCTTCCAGTCCCTTGCAGGTACGGATGGTCAATGACCAGCTAATGCTCTTGGAACGGGCATTCCTGAACCCAAGGGCTTTCCCAGAGGAGCGATACTATAGGTGAGCCTATGCCAAATCTCCTGGGAGGCTGGGAAGTGGGGTGGAGCAATGATCCCCCATCCAAAGGTTTCCTGCTTCACTGCCCAATCCACTCACCAATGGTTGGGAAAGGGCTCTATAAGCCCTTGCTTTCAGAGACCAGACCCTGGGAACAGTGTGGAGTTCCAGGCTAACCCCTCAATAACCGTCAGCTTGCTATTTCTCCCCAGTCACGTGCTCTGGGCACCCAACACGGCCTCCGTTGCTACATTCCCAGGTCTGGCCAATGCTTGTGCCAGGGCCCAGGATGCCAACTCTGGATCTGAAGCTTGGGCTGAAGTACAGAGGCAGCTTAGCATTGTAGTAATGGCCCTGGAAGGTGCAGCAGCCACCCTGGAGCCTGTGCATGACTTCTGACCCTAGCTCTGCCTCTTGAGCTTTTCCTTTACCTTGCACCTGTGTGTTTCTCTGGTAAATGTCCCAGCCTTTTCTGATGGTAGTAAGTGAAATCTGGGCCCAAGGAAAAGTGTAGAGGCCATTGCCCAACTTTCTTTCTTCTTGCCCTGCTCTTCAACGGTCTGTCTCCCCTCTTAGCCCTTAAATAAATGGAGTCTAACAAGTTCTTATAAAATGAGTTCCTTTTATTATGTGGGAATCATGAAAAAAGAGTGCCAGGTGTTCCAGTCCAGTCCTTGGACAAGCCTCTCAAGCTGGAGATCTAGGTCTGTGTAAGTCCTTGTCTTCCCCTGCCATGACCACTTCCTCAAGGGTATGTCCCTGCAGCTTGCTTCCCACTAGTATGTGGCAGGTACCAGGGGGTGGGAGTCCTTCCTCAGAGTAGTGACCCCTCAGAAATACAATTCTATCTTTATCTAAGGTCAGTCCATGGGCCTGACACAGGTCTTGTGCTTCACGGGGTCCATCCAGGGCCAGAAGGTGTACTATGAAGTCCAAAGGCAAGGTCTGTCCTTTAGGAGTGCTCAGGGCACGGGCCAGACGGGCCAGGGCTTTGCGGCGGGCGTAGCCAATGTGTCCCTGCACTGCACAGCTTGGTAGGTAGGGCAGGGTGCGAAGCAGACGAAACAGCCGGGCGTGGTTGCCTTCACGGAAGGCAGCATCTACAGCCAGAGCAGTTTGAAGGGGCGGGCAGGCACGAAGGGTGGCAGGCAGCTGTAGAACCTCCTGCAGGGCTTCCACAGAGCCTGAGGGCAAGAAGTAGAATCAAGAATGCTTAGTATTTTCTATATCAGTCCTACCCCACATACCATCCCCTCCAGCTCATTCCCACCTGCCAACTCCAGTCATGTGCCAGCCATGTGCCCTTGGAGAGGCTGACCCACCTCCCCTCCTTCCAACCAAGACCCAACCATCATCAGACAGACCCTCCTCTGATCTATTTGCGGTGCCACAAGACCAGACCTCCTTCATTCTAAACCCTTACAAGTGGACAGGGTTTTACATTTACATATGGTGGACACAGGCTATCAAACTATTTGAGTTTCTATTACTGAGACAAAACACCATAAGTGAAAGCAAGTTGGGGAGAAAATGGTTTATTTGGCTTACACTTCCAAATTGCTGTTCATCACTGAGGAAAATCAAGACAGAAAGAAACTCAAGCAGGGCAGAATCCTGGAGGCAGGAGTTGATACAGAAGAGGCCATGGAGGGGTGCTGTTTATTGCTCTGCTCAGCCTGGTTTTTTTTTTTTTCTTTCTTTCTTTCCTTCCTGTTTTCCTGTGTGTAGCCCTGGCTGTCCTGTAGCTAACTCTCTTTGTAGAGACAAGACCATTCTCAACCTCACAGAGATCCACCTACATCTGCCAGTGTGGCTGGGATTAAAGGTGTGGGTCCCTGACTGCTCAGTTTTTTTTTTTTTTGTTTTTCATGACGGGATTTCCCTATGTAGCTTTGGAGCCTATCCTGGAACTCAGATCTGCCTGCCTCTGCCTTCTGAATGCAGAGCTTAAAGGCAGGTATGTGCCAGCACCACTCAGCTTCAGCCTGCTCTTATAGAACCCGGGACCACCAGCCCAACAAGGTGGGCTGGGCCCTCCCTCACTGATCACTAATTGAGAAAATTCCTTACAGGTGGGTCTCATGGAGGATTTCCTCAGCTGAGGATTCTTCCTCTCTTAAGACTCTAGATCTGTCAAGTTGACACAAAAGCAGCCAGTACACAGGCCAAAGCAAGGGCTTGCCTGAGGTTATCCTAGAGCTCAGGCTAATCATGCTGACCTAAACCTAAGTTTTCTGACTGTCTAGACTGCAGTATCAGGAGGATTTTGAGCCGGGCAGTGGTGGCACATGCCTTTAAATTCCAGCATTCTCGAGGCAGAGGAAGGTGGATCCCTGTGAGCTCAAGGCTAGTCTAGTCGAATCAGAGTTCCAAGACAAACAGGCTCCAGGCTCCAAAGCTACTCAGAGAAACCCTGTCTTGAAAACCCAAAAAGAAAAGAGATCTTTGAAGGGAGATTATCATCTTATCTTAGATAAACCGCGGCAGAAACAACTATGACTTTCATTTTAGCAATGTTGTTGTTTACCAGATAAAAGACTTGTGGCTACAAAAAGGTAAAGATTTACAGTAAAGACAGATTCACAATAAGAAAACCTCTAAAGGTTTACAGTGTGTTCTAAAATATATGTAGGTTTGGAGAGAAAATAAATAAAATGGTTTTAAAAAGACAGAGAACAGCTGGGTGTGGTGGCACACGCCTTTAATCCCAGAACTCGGGAGACAGAGGCAAGCAGATCCCTTGTGATTTCAAAGTTAATCTGGTATGCAGAGTGAATTCCAGGATGGATAAAAGTTACACAGAGAAACCCTGTCTCAATTAAAAACAAACAAACAAACAAACAAAAAGAATAAAAGAAAAAAAAAACTAAAAGAAACAGAATAATAAAAAAAGCCACAGATGGAGAGAATATGGATTCTGTACGGTATTATATTGTTTTTGTATTGTTTGACTGCTGAGGAAACAACAACTGTTAAAACAAATGCTGCTGGATCAATTCAATTTATATATTTTAAAAATGCTCTGACTCCAAAATTTAAGTCTAAGGACAAGTTACTGGGGGAAAGGATTTCTACTTTTGTTTCCACAGAAAATGAAAAGCTATGAATTCCTTCCAGACTAATGTGGCTTGATCAAGTCAGACCCCCTGAAACAGAGTTGCTGGTGATCCAACGTTCAAAACAGTTTGAACAAGGCAGCCTTACAGACTAGAGCCAGGATATCTGCATCTTCTTAGGATTCCCCCATAACAGCACCCCCTGTCAGCAGGAAGTAGTTTGGAAAGAACGTAGCCCCAATTCCAAAATATTGTTTATAAATGTTTGTTTTCATTTAAATGGGGTTGGTTATAAATGGTTAATGATCACAACCAATATTTTTAAAGGTAAAAGGAATTATGGTATAGATATGAATACTTTGTGTTGAAACGGATTTTCATTTATTGATATAATTTAAGGTCAATCTTATGATGTGTATATTTCTCCTTTTGTTTAGGTATTGTGTTTATATAGCTCATTTAGAAATGTAATATATAATGTAGTACAGATCATAATTACCTATGATAGTCAAAGCTTAGAGTTAAGTTAGTTAGGTTTTTCAAGATACAGAGATGTATTTGAGAGGAATAGGCATTCTTCAAACCTTTCAAAGACCTACAGAATATGGCATTTAAAATGGTTTAGGGTTTCTCTTGACAGTGAAGCATAACTGCTCCTAGCAACACCACCTGCGTCCGAAAGGACATCGAAGAAACGCGTTATAAAGTTTGCTTTCAATATGGCAAGACTAGCCATTTGGACAAGATACTGCTCTTGTCTGGACTGTTTGACTTTATGCTGTATAAACTGGACATGCAGGACCCACAGGAAAGTGACTGCTGATTCAAGATGGACATTGCTACAGAGTTCCATCTTCATGGAAGGGTCTGCCAGACAGTCTGCAGGACACAGAGAAAAGTGACCGGCAAACTGCCAATACAGGTGGACAGTTTAAAGTTTCCTGCTTTGCTGAAGAGTCTGACAGACACACTATGGCCTATTGGCTGAAGATGGAAGATTACAGAAAAACTTCAGGTGACTGACAAGGCAAGATGTCTCTGTCATTTCTAGAGTTTATATATTATCCTTCTGTGGTCTTTGAAGGAGTTGAAGACAGATAGTTATGATTATAGTTTTCCTTGGTTAGAATTAAAGGTAAGTTACATATAAGACTTGAGACTCACAAAGATAGGATAGATGATGAAATATTTTCTTCAAATCTTACTAAATGTTAATGATCTAAATATTGTTAACTGTGATTCTTACTTGATAACTGTTGCTTATATATTTTGCTATGTTAAGGTTAAAACCCTTTTTATTTAGACAGAAAAGAGATGATGGGAGATGTCATTCTGTATATGTTTCTCATACTGGTTAATGAATAAAGCACTGTTGGCCAATAGGAAAGCAAGATAGGCGGGACTAGGAGGAGGAAAGAGGAAGGGAAGGAGGAGTCAAGATGGAGAGTCTGGAGAAGGCAGAACCGCCAGCCGCCTCTCCCTGGTAAGACCACATGGAAAGACATAGAAATGGGTTAATACTTAAGACAGAGCTAGCCGATAAGAAACTAGTACCTGGCCAACAGAATTATATCAAGTACATAGTCTCAGTGTGTTAATTGGGGCTGGCGCTGCAGCGAGACAAGACCAGGCGGCGGGCAGAAAAAACCTTACTCCTTACATATCTTGGGTGCTGGCTTCATCACACTCACTTCTCTATCTGGGAAGGTCACTTTTTAGGAAGTCTTTCTTCCTTTTCAGGGAATCTTGACTACTGGAACTTTGGACCACTTTTGTAAATTAATGAGTTTAAGAGTCACTCTGGGAGCTGGAGAGACGGCTGAGCAGTTAGGAGCACTGGCTGTTCTTCCTGAGGACCAGAGTTCTATTCCCAGCACCTACATGGCAGCTCACTACTTCTGTAACTACAGTTCCAGGAGATCTGACACTCTCACACAAACAAAACACATGCCCATTTAAAAACAAAAACTGCCCTCCTCTGAGTTGGGATTAAAGGTACCTGTCACCACGCCCATCTTTCCTTTGATAAATAATTCACCCACAAAAAGGACCTTTTAGCAACTTCTGTCAAATTTATTCATGGGCTAGTCTACTGAGTAGTTTTAAAAAGTTTGCTAAGTGTTTTCTAGGCCAAGTCTATTACTATTCCACCTCCCTCCACCTCTCTTATGGAGGTCAGATTGGGCCTGGAGGGTTTACTCTCACGAACTGACTTAACCAAGGAGGAGCTAGCTATTGCTGAGTGATGGAAGCTGCCATATCCCTAAACTACACTGCGCCGCTGATGCTAGGACTGTTTTTCCCCAAAGATCCTTAAGTCCCCACGCTCTGCTGTGTGGGACCCGACTTACCCAAATTGTAAAGCAGAAAGAGGCCCTGGAAAGCGGCCTGGCGAGGGTGCGGGGCGTTGCCCCGTGCGTAGCAGCGCCGCAGCGAACCGAAGCCCTCCTGCACCTGCGTCTGCAGCAGCACGGGGTCCGCGGCTCCGCGCGCCTCTTCGGGTCGCAGCCGCGCCACCACTGCCAGCAGCGTTGCCAGAGCGGCTTCCAGCACCGCCGCTGCTTCCGCGTCACCCACGCCCTGCAGCGACAGATCAAGCCTCACAGCGCGCAGGCGGTCCACCACGAAGCCCGCAACCTCTGCGCACGACGCGTCGGCACGGCCGGCCACCTCACCCGCTAGGTAGCGCACGGTGGCTAGGAGTACTGGGGGCGGCCGCAGCAGGCTGGGCGGGGGCCGGGGCTTGCCTGCCGCCGGCCGGCTGTACTCCTTCACGGCTCGCCGCGGGTCGGCTCGGGGCGCGCTCCCACGGCCGCCCGGCTCCACCTCCAGTCGGTGCAGGCGTCGCTCGCGCTCGCGTCGGGCGCGCTCGGCGGCTGGGCACATGTCTGGGCACAGGCCCCTCGGCAGCTCGCAGCCGGACATGGCAGGGCTGTGGGTAGACGACGCACACTCAGCATCTCGGGGCCAGCGGACACGCGGCGTTGCATCCTGCTGTGGGCTCAGGAAACACTCGTGGGGGCCCGTTTGGCTGGCCCGCCCCCACTCACCCGGGTTCCCCAGACACCGCAAAGCCGGAACACTTCCGTTCCCGCCGGCTTTAGAAACTCCTCCCAGAAGCCACCGCGCCAGGCCTTAAGCCGTCCCATGATGCACCCGCTTGTAGTCCCGCGATGAGGCCATAATCCCCTCCCCCCCAGGTCTTCTGGGATTTAGTGAACTTCAGCTTTTTGTTCTTGGAGCTTTCGAAATAGGTAACCCTACTTTGCGTATCTCTCCATTATCTCTTTAACACACTAAACTAGTGCTATGGGCCTGTCATTAAAGGTGTGGGCAACACCACTCATTTGCTAGAGGCAGCTTATTCAACTCAGTTGGTACAATGTAAACTCAGCCATTGGCAATAATAATCACATGGACCGGGTTGTGTTTTTATTCACACATATTTGAATTTTATAAAATTTTCACTGATCAAAGAATCATTTTCCTTCCAACCATTAACAAAAAAAAAAAAGAAAAAAAGAAAAAAAGAAAAACCCTTGTAGCTTGAAGGTCTTACCAAAAAATGCAGTGTGCCAGGTCTGGCCACTGACTTCAGGCTGCAGACCCTTGTTCTAGATGGGTGAACTGATATAAAACAGACAGGCAGGACCAGAAGTTCAAGTCTGATTCCAAGGAGGCAGGCAGGTTGGAGCTGAGAAGTCTTTGCTTTTCTCATACTTGGTCCAGTTAAAACAGATATGACCCCTGGGGTTCCAAGAGCAGGAAACAAGGCCAGGTCCCAAGGGAAGGCATGGAGGAGGCTGGCAGTGCTGGAGCTGAAGTCCCAGGAAGGGTCCACCCTCAAGGCAATTGCCCGTGGAGGGTCTCTGCCCGCCTCAGGTACTCAGCTGCCTTCTTTTTCACACCTTCCCGGCGGGCAGGGGATGGGTCACCTGTAGAGAGCAGAAGGTCCAAGTCCCTTCAGAGTGCCCGGCCCAAATGTGCCTTTCCCTGGGTCCTAGTGTCCCCTTCCCCCATTTTATGAGGCTGTTAACAAATTAAAGAAAATTCTGCCCAAGGTCTCTGGTTGACCTGTGACAAAGGAAGGTTCCTGATCCTTTTTTTTTTTCCCCTTTAAAATATGTTTATATGTGTCAGAGTGAACGTGTAAAGGTCAGTGGTCAACCTCAGATGTAGGTCTCCTCTTTCTATCATGTCTGAGGCCAGGTCTCTTTGTTGTTCTCTGCTGCATATGCCAAGCTCACCAGCCCTGGAGTTTCTGGAGATTCTCCTGTCTCTGTTTTCTTCCATCTTGCCATGGGAATATTTGGCTTCCTGAGTGTGCTTTGTGTGTGGTCTGGGCATTCTAATTCAGTTCCTCATGCCTGCATGGCAAAGCACTTTACACACTGTGCAATCTCCCTAGCCCCTCTGCTTTTCACTTCCCCATCTTCCTTACTGCTGTACTCACCAGAGACTCCCTGAAGCAGGACGTGCACCCCATCTCGGTAGCCTTGGAGTGCAGCAGCATAGGCTCCAGCCTTCTCATTCTGAAGGGCTTGAGTGATGAGCTCTGTGGCCTGGGTCAGATAAGCTGGGGCAGGTTCTCCATCCTCAGACTCTTCCTTCTCCTGTCCTCCTGGCTCCCAAGGTTCCTGGGCCAGTTTTTTGGACTGTACCTCCATGGCTGCCAGCTCACCAGTGTGGGTGGGGCTGGGACCTGTACTTTCTATAATAAAACAGGGAGGATTCAGGCCAGACTGGCCTTTCCCCCCCCCAGGGTCTGTTGTCCACCCCAGGCTTATTTTGTTCATCAGAACTCCAAACTGTCCCCACTGGAGGGGTACAGAGCCTGGGAAATCCCGATGAGAGAGCAAATCTGTTGTGTTCTACTTGCTTGGTTTGGCTCAGGAGCTTTCTGTAAAGGCTTAGTTTATTATTGTTGTTGCATACATGAGTAAAGGCATGAGTGTGTTGTGGTACCCATGTAGAGGCCAGAGTACAAGTTTTGAGTTTTTTTTTCCCCATCCTAGGTGGATTTGGGGGATGGAACCCAGGTTGTCAGGCTCACAAGGCAAGTGCTTTTACCCCCTGAGCCATCTTACTGGCCCATGGCCTTGAACTTCTCTGGTCTTTGTGCCTCTGCCTCTCTAGTGCTGAGATATAGCCATGTGTCACTTTGCCTTTTTTGTTTGTTTTATTAAAGACAGGGTTCCATTCTGTGGGCCTGGTTATTCTGTAATTTGCTATGGAGACTAGGTTGATCTTGAATTCACAGATCTGCCTGCTTTTGACTGGATGAGTGCTGGAATCAAAGGTGTGTGCCACTGTTTCCAGCTTTCCCATTAGAAAAAGTAGTGTGTGTGTGTAGGTTGAAGGGAACTTGCCAGAATTTGTTCTGTCCTTCTACCATGTGAGTCTAAGTCCTTAGGCTTATTGGTTAGTACCTTTATCCACAGAGCCATCTTTAAGAACCTTATTTTTGTTTGAAATAAAAGTGGGTGGTGGTGGTACACTCCTGGATCCCAGCACTCAAGAGGCAGAGGCAGCTGGATCTCTATGAATTTGAAGCCAGCCTCATTGACAAAGAGAGTTCTAGGACAGCCAGGGCTACACAGAGAAACCCTGTAAATCAGCACTAGAAATTGAACCCAGGCCTCCATGCACACCAAAAAGCACTCTATTAACTAAACTTTGTCCCCAGCCACTTTTTTTTTTTTTTTTTTTTTTTTTTTTTTTTTTGAGACAGGGTTTCTCTGCATTGCTTTAGAGGCTGTACTGGAACTCACTCTGCAGACCAGGCTGGCTTTGAACTCACAGAGATCTGCCTGCCTCTGCCTCCCAAGTGCTGGGATCAAAGGTTTGCACTACCAATGCCCAACTTCAGTCAGCCACTCCTAACCCCAGTTGCAGTTACAGCATGAAGTCAGTGAATTTTAGAATAAACTAAGCTTCAGTGTCTCTTTGCTAGGGATTTGCAAGTATGAGTTCAGTATCATGACCTGTATGGAGAACTTGCCTGGCTCTGATGGGAGTTCTAGTGCCTACTGTTCTTTAGTCCTAGACCTGGCCCCTTTGACTAGGGCAAGGTCCCACTTTCTATTTGTTTAGTTTTGATGTTGAGATTATGTAGGCCTCACTGACCTGGACTGTTATATAAACCATGCCAGCTTCAAATTCACAGAGACCCTCCTGCCTCTGCTTCTGCCTCTCAAGTGCTGGGATTCAGGGTGTATGCCATCAGGGTCAGTCCATGAACAATACGACACTATGATGCTGTGCCACCCAGAGTCTGCTCAGAGAGCAGGGCTCAACTCCTTCTTCCCCAGCTGCTCAGCGCTGCTCATGGCCGTGGAGGCTGCTAACCTGACTTCCAAGCAGCAGTGTCAAGGGCTCCCTTCCTGGCCCTTAGTTCCTCTTGCCCCACACCTGCTCCTTACCCTCTTTGGAGTAGGGGTCGAAAAGGGCAAGTTCAGCCTCAGAGAGGGGACCTCGGGCTGGGGAGCTGGATGCTTCCTCAGTGCTGCCACAGCTGAAGAGAAGATCCAAGGCTTCCTGGGCAGGGCTAGATGGTAGGGGGTCCACTGAGGAGAGACCAGGGGACATTAATTCCTGCACCTACTGCTTCTCAGCTCTCAAAACAGAATGTCTGTCTTGATTAGTCCTCGAAGAAACCCCTGGATACAAGGCCACTATTAGGTTTGGGCCTGTTTGACAGATTAGCAAACCGAAGCCGAGAAAAGAAAAAGGACCTGTTCAGAGACACCCCTCCCACCCAGGCGAGTGGTAGAACTTCCTCTATACTTCTCCCTGGGATTCCTGGGAGGACTCACTCCCTTCCCTGATCCTGATATACCTGGCACATCCAACTCCTCCTGGCCCCTCCTTTCCACAGGCAGTGGCTGGAGTAGCCGGGCCTCATCAGGAGGTGGTGTAGGAATGAGAGGGGGTGGCAGGATGCACAGGTCCCTGGTCACCTCAGAGGGTCTTGTTACCTCCCCACCCTGCAGGAGACAAAAGTCCAGCAGAGGAGAGGAGTTAGGAATTTAGCTGGTAGGAAGGGAAGCTGTACAGGGGATGGGTAGGTTGGGCAAGCAGATGAACTTGCCCGGAAAAACTCCTTGAGCTGGGGACTGTTGTTGAGTGCAGGGATGGGTACTGTGAAGCGCAGCAAATCTTCTGCACCTTTGCGCCTTTCTTCAATCACAGAGGCTTCAAACCGACCTGCAGACCCGGGGTCAGGAGGGCAGCAGTGACCATGGGGGCTCCTGGTTCCAAAGCCCACATTTCCTGGTTCTGCCTAAGAAGTGTTAAGCAGCCAGCTGGAACCCCCCCCCCCCATTCTCCCAGGAGTCTTCTCTGGCTCCTCCTGCAGGCATCACCCTCCCTGTTCATTCTTTGTGCAGGCCTCAGGTTAGCTCCCTGTTCTCAACGGTATTGGACCATAAACAGGAGGAGGCAAGGTATGTTTTGTTTCGTTTTTAAGACAATGTCTCAGCTCTGGCTGGCCTGGAAGTTGCTAGGTAGACCTCAGACTCAGAGATCTACCTGCCTCTTCCTTCTGTGTGCTGGGATTAAAGGCATGAGTTATCATGCCTGGCAAGAAACCATTTGAAGAGGTTTGGATATAATCAGGAGAAAAGTAAAGCTCAGAAGGAAGGTGACTTGCCCAAGGTCACAAAGCAAGAAGCTGTTTCACTGCTGGGCATAGTGACCATGCATCTGTCAACCCCATACTTGGGAGGGTGGTAAGAAGGTCAAGGCTAGCCTTGGCTACATTTGAGACCTGGTCTCAAAAAACAAAACAACAACAACAACAAAAAAACCAAAACCAAACCAAACCAAAACAAAACAAAACAAACAAACAAACAAACAAAAAACCAAAGCTGGGCATGTCGGCACACACCTTTAATCCCAGTGCTTGGGAGGTAGAGTCAGGATGATCTCTGAGTCTGAGGCGAACCTGGTCTACAGATTGAGTTCCAGGACAGGGAAGGCTACACAGAGAAACCCTGTCTCAAAAAACCAACCAACCAACCAAACACCCAAACAAACAAAAACCCAAAACAACAACAAAAACCCAACACTACATGCAGAGTAGTCTAACCCTGCCACAGTTATTGTGCTGGGGACACAGCCTCTACCCCACCCTACTCCCCATGATGGTCTCATTGACCTGGCATGACCTGCCAACAGCTCTTCACCTCATTGCAAAAGAATATTCACATGGGTCTGAGAATTTATGTAGTTAATGGGTTAATGGACTCCTAGTGCTCTGCTATTAAAAACTAGCTTGGTTCTGTCACTCATGGTAACCCTGATTCTCTCCATGTGATGCTCCCTGCCACCTTGGGGCTCTACCAGCAACAGAGCTATGAGGACCTGACCTATATGTCAAAATAAGTCTCTTTTCTGTTTAACTAAGGCATCTGGTCTATGGTATTGTGTTACTGCAACAGACTAAGGCTCAGACAACAGCCCTTTTCCTTGCTGAGCCTCATCTTCATGGGAATGGTAATTGCCCAACAGGTAATAAGCAGTAAGTTGCTCTGAGCCTTAGTTCCCCCACATTTCAAGGAGACCATCTCAGTAAGCCCATCCAGTTTTCCAAAAGTGTCTGTTCAGGGTATGGGACCACATTCACCAGTCCCCACTAGTCCAGGTCCCCTTTGCCTAAGTCTATCTGCATACTGGGGCCAGAGGTTCAGATACAATACTCACCAAACACCTGGGCACGGGGGAAAGCTGGAAACTCTTCTAGGCGGCGGAAGAGATTTCGGTGAGTATAGGCCAAGTCCCCATGCAGCTTACGGAAGTCACTGTATCGTTTCCAGACTACTACCTGCAAGGTATGTGAGACTTGACCTGGGCCCGCATGGGTAGAAAGTGGCCTTCCCATGCTTACTATGTCCTAGGGTCTGAGAAGGAGAGCACACACCCTTTCTAACACAGGCCAGGGAAGAAGGCAAGTCCTTGATGTTACCAACTGTCCCTTATTGATGCTAGATCTGTATATGAGAACAGTCCCCACCATCCCAGCAGCCTTACCTCTTTGATATCTTCTGGGTCCTTCTTTGAGATGAACTGAGAAAGAAAAGGTAAGGGCCAGATGAGACTAGAGCCTGACACTCAACACTGTATTACCCCTGAAAAGCTGAGGAAGCTAGCCCCAACGGCATCCTAGGGTATAGTGCCTGTTGGAACAAGAGGGTCCTGGAATTAAAGTTTTAGGCATGTTTTCTTTTTGGTTTGTGGACCCAAGGTTTCATTTAGTCCAGGCTGGCCTCAAACTGGCTATACAGCAGAGGATGGCCTTGTATTCCTTACACTCCTACCGCTGTTCCCAAGTGCTGGGATTATAGGCATGTACCACGAGATTCGGTTACTTTATTATTTGTTTTTGGTACTAAGGATTGAACTCAGGACTTCCTGAGACCTGCAGTAGCCTATTACCATTGGATTACATCCTCAACTCCTTGAGAAATTTTGTTATTGTTCATCTGTATCTTCATCTGGGAAATGTGAGGATACTAAACATCTGTCTAGGAGCTGGGCAGTGGTAGAGCATGCCTTTAGTCCCAGCACTTGGGAGGCAGAGGCAGGTGGATCTCTGTGAGTCCAAGGCCAGCCTGGTCTACAAAAGGGCCACACAAAGAAACCCTGTCTCAGGAAAAAACAAACAAACAAAAAAAAACCAAACCAAAACAACAACAACAAAAAATCTGTCTAGATAGCCCCATACTCAACTTTATGGTATTTTGTTGTTTTTGTTTTTTTGAGGTATGTGACAACATGTAGATGAATAAAAGTGGGTTAATTTAAGTTACAAGAGCTATTTAGAAACAAACATAAGCTAAAGCTAAACTTTTAATTAATAATTATCTGTGTCATGATTTGGGGGCTGACAATCTAAGAAAGCCTATTACAGCTTTCAATTTCACTTTTTTGTTTTGTTTTGTTTTTCAAGACAGGGTTTTTCTGTATTGTTTTGGGACCTGTCTTGGAACTAGCTCTGTAGACCAGGCCAGCCTCGAACTCAGAGATCCCCTTGCCTCTGCTTCCCAAGTACTGGGATTAAAGGGGTGAGCCACCAACGTCTGGCCTCAATTTCACTTTTATCCCAATTCCTTCCAAGGGTCAAGTTCTGGTATTCAGAAAGCAAAGAACTTATCTAAAGAAACGAGAGTCTGCCCTGGGATCCAGTTCTTCATTAAGGAAGGAGCCCTAAGGTCACATACCCATAAAGAAAGAAGCAGTCAATGCCGGGGTAGGCATTTTGAAAAAGAGTAGAATTGGCCTGACAGAAGGAACATTTGGTTTCCACTGTTATGTTTATGGGAATTTTACATTAAGGTTGTACAGTTTGGAATCGATAACAGTTTTCAAAACATCCTTTCTTTTTTTTTCTAGACCTCAGCCAATCAGACATGATTAAGATGCCTATTTAAAGGTTAAGGATGGGGATTGAAGCGCTGGCTCGGTAGTTAGAGCACATCTTGGTCTTCCAAGGACCAGTGCCCAGAACAGCACCTCCTGACCTCCGTAGGCATCCACACACAGCTGTGATACACATTCAACAAATATATACATCAATTAAAAAAATAAAATAAGGGGGCTGGAGAGATGATTCAGCAGTTGAATGCACTTGCTGCTCTAACAGAGGACCTGAGTTTGGTTCCCAGCACTCACATGACAGATCAAAGCCATTTATAACTCCAATCCCAGGAGATTTAATATCTTTTCTGACCTTTGAGGGTCAGCAAACATATATTTGGTACACATACATACATGCAGGCAAAGCACTCATACATAGAAAATAAAATAAATCTGGAGCTGGAGAGAAGGTTCAGAGGTTAGGAGCACTGGCTGCTTCTTGAGAGGACCTAAGTTTTATTGCCAGCACCCACACCAGAGAAACACAGTGGCCTGTAATTCTAGCCCCTGGGGATATACTAACCTCTTCTGATATATGCAGATAAAATACTCATACATGTTAAAAAAAACCTAATAAAACATTTTAAAAGATTTAAGTAAATAAGCTGCATGTGGTCTGCCTTTTAATCCCAGCACTCAGGAAGTAGAGACCAGCCTGGTCTACAAAGTGGGTTCCAGGACAGCCAGGGCTGTTATACAGAAAAACTCTGTCTGGTGGTGGGTGGTGGTGGAGGAAAAAGATTTAAGTAAATAAATAGTTTTGTTTTGAGACAGGTTGTTTCTCTGTAGCTTTGGAGCCTGCCCTAAAACTCACTCTGTAGACCAAGCTGGCCTCAAACTCACAGAGATCCACGTGTCTTTGCCACCCTAGTGCCAGGATAAAAGGCTTAAACTACCACCACCCAGCTATAAATCTTTAAAAGACAAGGAGAGCATCGTATAGTGACACACATTATTCCAGCATTCGAGAGGTATGGGGGGTTATCAGTTCAAGATCATCTTCAGTTACATAGTAAGTTTGAGGGGTGTGTGTGTGTGTGTGTGTGTGTGTGTGAGAGAGAGAGAGAGAGAGAGAGAGAGAGAGAGAGAGAGAGAGAGAGAGATGGGAGGCCCCAGGTTCAATCCGTAGCACTGAAAAAGAAAGAAAGAAAAATACATACCTATGTAATGCATGTAACTAGGTCTAAAAAGCTATCAGGAAGACATGTAAGCACAATCCCAAAACATCTAGGATTCTGACTTAGATCGCCTTAGGAGCAACTTTGATGTGTTTTGCTTCCTTTGAAGAACTGTTGACAAGCTGAAATGGGGTACAAGAAAACCAGTCTTCTGGCAGCAACCCAGTTTCTCCCACTGGAGCCCTCCATGGTTACAGGCCCTTGGGTAAAATTCTAAAAGCCTTCTTTCATGATGACTTATTTTAATAGTTTTCTCCGTGTCCCTGCGTGTTTATTTTAAGTTTTAGCGTTACAAATGTTGTCAGCAGCTTTTATTGACTTCCTGAGACTGTCGTGAAGATGGAGACTTTTTCAGTCCTTTTGACTTGTGTGAGCATTTTAAAACCACACAAATTAAAAGGGTTGTTGTTGTTTTGTTTTGTTTTGTTTTTTTTAATGATCGAACGCCTCTAATCCCATCACTGTCTGTGACTTCGAGGCCAGCCTGGTCTACATTGTGAGTTCCAGGACAGCCAAGGCTAAGTAAAGACTCACGTCTCAAAAAAAGAAAAGCGGGGGTGGGGGGTGGGGGGTGGGGGGTGGGGGTGGGGGGTGGGGGTGGGGGGGATGAGGGTGGTGTGTTGTATGTGGGGAAGCTTTTATGTATCAAGCAGAGCTAATTCCCAAAAGTTACTCCAAGCGATTAGAGAAGGGATATTTGGGTTAGTCCGTAGTTTCCTTGCTTTGAGAAATTTTTACACTGCACCTAGACTCCCATTATTGGGGCGAGGACCCAAGCCTGTGGGGCAAGGCAACTGTGGTCGGCAGGCTTTAAAAATTACGCTTAGCCCCGCCCCCAGGTGGTGTGGTACCAGTCTGTGGCCTCGGGCTCCTCTTAAAGGGGAAACCATTTTTGTAGGCCAAACGGCGACCTCCCGGCAGCTCTTTGCCTTTAAGGTACACCGCGGATCCCGGGTGGATTAAAAGGGTTAGTTAGGTCCCCCGCCGCGTCCCACCTCACCTGCGCCGTCACTTTGTACTCGGTGTAGCCCTTGGGGTGGGTCCTGGGGTCGGAGACTGTGTAGTGCCGCAGGAAGTCATCCTTTGCCTGGCGCGACATGACAGCGAGCTGGCCTCAAGCTCCTCCTCCTGCACGTCGTCCCCGCTCCGTGTGTTCAGCCTGGTGCCACCGCCAGGCTCGGGCCTGCGCCCTTCTTCAGGTCCAGGGACCTAGTCGCAAGTGACACAGCGGTTCTTGGCCTAGGGGCGTGGTTAAGGGAGTGTCTGACAAGTTCTAGGTCACTGGTAAAGCGGAGATCTAGGTAGAGAATAATTGGCTGGTTGTTTTGTGGGGGTTTACCAGCTGGCTTCATCTTGGTGTGTGAGTGAACCCACCTCATCCCAACATAAACCTTCCTTACAGATCTCCGAAAACTTCTGCTGTTTCTCATCTTTATATCCACCCAGTTTTTTTTTTTTTTGTTTTTGTTTTTGTTTTTTTTTTAAGTTTTTCGTGACAGGGTTTCTCTGTGTAGCTCTGTCCGTTCTGTAACTATGTCTGTAGATTAGGCTGGCTTCAAATTCACAGAGATCCGCCTGTCTCTGCCTCCCGAGTGCTGGGATTAAAGGCTTGTGCCACCTCCCGGCTATTTTATCAATTATTTTGCTGCATGGTCTCCACTGTATTGCGTAGACCGCACTGGGCTGAAAACATCCCCCCTGCCTCAGCCTCCTAAGTGTCTGGAACTACAGGTTCCCAACATAGAGCCTAAGTCACCCAACTTTCATTGTGTTCACAATGTGCCAGATAGAACCAAGTTAAGTTCCCTGCATCCCTGTGAGGGATTGGCTGAGCAGATGACATTTACTGGTGCTGAAAATGTTGGACAGTGGCAGGCACTGAAGTCACAATGCTTATAGCCGTTTGGATTTCCCATAACTGCTTTATGTTTGGGGGAGGTTGGCCTCAAACTCACTATGTAACGGAGGCTAACTTTGAATTTTTGATCCTCCCCTTCCACCTCCCAAATGCTGAGATCACAGGTAAGCATCTGTTGTGGGGTTTCTGTACACTGTGTGTAGTGGTTGGTGTAATTAAAAAAGCAGAATGGCCAATAGCTAGGCTGTTGGTATAGGTGGGGTTTCTGGGGAGAGAAAGGAAGAGGAGGAGAAATCTAGAGTTCAGGAGATGCCAGAAGACACTGAGAGGAAACAGGCGGTCCAAGATGTAAGACAGGTAATACCATGTAATAGAACGTAGATAAATTAGGGCTGGAGAGATGGCTCATCGGTTAACAGCACTGGCTGCTTTTACAGAAGACCCTGGTTCAAGTCCCAACATCCACATGGCAGCTTACAACTGTCCATATCCCTGTTCCAGGGGATCAGACAACCTCACACAGACATACATGCAGGCAAAATACAAGTGTAAATAAAATACAAATAAATTATTTTTTTAAAAAAATGTAGATTGAGTTAGAAGAGCTAGTTAGAGACAAGCCTAAGCTATAGGCTGAGCCTTTATAATTAATAACTCTCCATGTAGTTATTTGTGAGGTGATGGCCCAAAGAAAAGTTCAATTGACTCTATATTGCCCCAGTTCAGGCCACAAATATCCACACAGGGCCCGAGAAAGCAGCCTCTCTGGTAGAGGTGCAGCAGGGCACTTGAGCAGCTGGCATACTGGGTAAACTGCCTGTTGCATTGTGGACACAGCAGCTTCTCAGGGCTGGGCAGTAAGGCTAGGCTCTCAGGAAACCAAGATGGGCAGAGCCAGAGGCCCCTGTGACCATTTACAGTTTATCTTGTGGTTAGAAAATGTTGTAGCCATGCGGTAAAGAGATCCAGACCAAGAAAACCGTTAAACAGACACAGTAAAAAAAAAAATGGGTATAAACAGTTATAGAAAAAAAAATAGATAGTTTTTAAAAAAACAAATTTTGTTTTGTTTTTTCTGAAACAGGGTTTAACTGTGTAACAGTCCTGGCTGTACTAGAACTTGCTCTGTAGACCAAGCTGGCCTCAAACTCATGGAGATCCACCTGCCTCTGCCTCTTGAGTACTGAGGTTAAAGGTGTGCACCACCAATGCCCAGAAAGAAAAAAAAATCTTTAAAGAGAGAGTAAAGTAATATAAAAAGAATAAGCTGCCAGGAGTGGTGGGGCACGCCTTTAATCCCAGGACTTGGGAGGCAGAGGCAGGTAGATCTATATGAGTTTGAAGCCAGCCTGATGTACAGAGCAAGTGCTAGGACAGGTTCCAAAGCTACACAGAGAAACCCTGTCTCAAAAAACCAAACCAAACCGAAAAAGAATAACCATATAAAGATGGGAAATATACAAGTGTCTGGATCCTGTATGGTACTTTGTTTTCTTTGAATGTTTTAAATGCTAATGTCCATAAAACAATAGCTTCTGAGAGGCATTGGATTATAGAAACTACTAAATTAAACTAACCTGTGTATTTTAAAAATGTCTTCAAAATGGAAGTCAGAAAATATGTTGTGTTAGGGGAGAGGTTATGACTTTGTTTCCACAGTAAGCAAAAAGCTTTAGTTCTCTTCAAAGTTAATGAAGATTGCTGGGCATTGGGGGGTGCACACCTTTCATTCCAGCCCTCAAGAGGCAGAGGCAGGAGGATCTCTGTGAGTTCAAGGCCAGCCTGGTCTATAGAGTAAGTTCCAGCACAGGCTCCAAAGCAATACAGAGACACCCTGTCTTGAAAAAAGCCAAAAAAGAAAAAGTTAATGAAGATCAGATTTGATTGGGGGAGTCCTAAAAATTTTGACTACAGACATGAAAGAAAGAAAAGAAGGAAGAAGAGAGAAAGGAAGGAAGAAGGAAGGAAGGAAGACTACAGGACAGGCGATGTATATGCTGATCTCTCTACATGGGAACAGCTCTGAGACTGAATGAGACATGATAAATCTTGTTGGCTACAGAGTCCTCATGACCTATTATTACAGTCATCCTTTCATATGACAATAGGTAGAGGTTTGGTTATACAGTCCTAACAAACTTATAAAGTTGACAGATGCCTTTTACCTGCTCAAACATAAAACAAAAAGTTATCTTTACTGGACTTGTGCATACCACACTGAACATTCCACACTTTTGTTAATGCAGATGTGTAACGTGTATGGTTTTTCCGCCTGCCGCCGCTGGTCTTGACCCACCGCTGGTCTTGACCCGCCGCCATGCCGCCAGCCCCAAATAATACACAGAGACTCTGTATTAGATATTATACTGTTGGCCAGTTACTAGTTTCTTATCGGCTAGCTCTGTCTTAAGTATTAACCCATTTCTGCTGATCTATGTATTTTCACATGGCCTTCTCTTACTGGGGAGGCAGCTGGCATCCAGCTCTCTCCAGACTCTCCATCTTGACTCCTCCTTCCTACTTCCTATTTCCTCCTTGTCTCCTAGTCCCTCCTATCTTCCTTTCCTATTGGCCAACAGTGCTTTATTATTAACCAGTATGAGAAACATATACAGAATGACATCTCCCATCACAGATGTATATGTTACCTTTAAGTGTACATATTTTCAGAAAAAAAAGGACTAGACACCAATGAAGACAGGTAGCCCAGGTGACCAGCCTCTCAGGTGCCTCTGTTGCAGTTTTCTCAAAATTCTTCATCCAGAACAACTTCAACACTGCTGGCTGAGATGTTTAGCCTCACAGACTACTCCAGCCAGTACTTCAGATAAGCTTTTTTCCATCACACAGAATAGACAAAAAATAATACAATTAGCTCTCCTAGGACTTGACCATTATCTCGATTTTTTTAGGGTCCCCAAAAGATACTGTCACCCCCCCCCCAGACAACAGGAAGCCATCTAGAAAACATGACACCCACATTACCAAGAGGTGGCGTGGGTGGTTTTTGGTCATTGTTGGGTTATGATTATTTGTCATCATTTAGGGGGTTTGTTACAAGTTGTTACTGGTTATGGTAAGGAAAGAAATTAAGCAAGGGATGTTGTATTCAAGGATCTCTTTCTGAAAAGAAAAAGGGAGATATGGAAAGGATAGACTAAAAGGGAGATTATTGAATATACTTTTAACTAAAAAGCAACTATTAATCTCAAATATTTTACACTGGTATAGATTTTTGTATATTGACATAAATTTAAGGTTATTTTTTGTTTGTTTTTCAAGTCAGGATTTCTCTTTGGAGTCTGTCCTGGAACTAGCTCTTGTAGACAGACCAAGCTAGTCTTGAACTCACAGAGATCCACCTGCCTCTGTTTCCTAAGTGCTGGGATTAAAGGTGTGTGCTATTAACTACCAGCTTAAAGTTATTTTTTGTTAGAACACACTCTATATATGTTTTTACTCTTGTTTAAGGTATTTTTGTATAATGATACAAATTTAAGGTTGTTCTTGTTAAACTGTATATGTCTCTATTCTTAAGGTGTTGTGCCTATGCAGCTCATTTAAAAATGTAAAGTTCTAGTCCCTGAAAGCTATTATTATAAACCTTTTAGGATAAATAAGAAACTCAGGTTAATAGTTAATCATCTATTAACAATCAAACTTGTAGTCATGTTAGTGTGTCTTCAAGGTCATATAGGGATATATATTTTAGATAGTGCCACCAGCTAGGTATGGGGGTCCCTGGGACAAGGGTTCTTGAAGACTAGGTAGGTAAGGATTCGGCGGTGACAAACAGAAAGAAACACAGAGGCAATTTGAATCTGAGTGTATTTTGCAGCTTTCAAGCAAGGCTTTTTATCCAGGATAAAGAATAGCTTCTCAGAGATTGTGTTCCCTGAAGCAAATCCAGATAGAACAAATGACATCATCGTTGTTAGGCATAGTAACATACAACTTATTCAATGCTAACAATAAATCAGAAAATCATTCACGGCTAAAACCACAACTAAACACCTATTTTCCAAGATCAGGTTAATAATTTTTTATGGTCAGTTATTGTTTAACATTTGTTGCCTAGCTCTAAGAATCTTTGAAATATTGAACTATTTTGACTTTTTCTTATCAAAAACTTTCTTTACTAAATGTTTAAACCTACTCTCATTACACATGTAATTTTATTGTTGGGAAAGTTTTCATCAATACTATTTGTACTTATGTGAATGACGTGAATGATTTGAAAAGTGCTGGTTTTCCTGGAGATGAGGTCATGGTCAGTGACCAAGTCTCAGGGGACGGTTTCTCATTTGTATCTTTTGTTTAAAATGTCAGCATAGGCTTTCAGGAAACATTTCTTTAATATGAGAAAAGAATAGAAGAGCAGATATTGT